ACTACACTCTGCCTAGCCCAGATCCTCCTGTAATTCCAGCTGGGTACAGTATTCTTCACTTCCTGTCCTAAACTGTGGTGTAACATTGCTGCACTCTGCTAAACCATCGACCTGTTATACCATGAAGGCTGCTTCTGTGGGAGATAAAGTGACGCCTTGTGTATAGTTTGTAAAGCATTTTATGGTCCCTCACAGCAGAAGATGCTGTATAAATGTTACACTATTATTATAATCTCTAAACATTTTGGGCTAGATCCTCCCCTGGTGTAAATTAGCATAGTCCAGTTGAAGTCAATGATGGAGCCACACTGATTTCCACCAACTGACTCTGCCCCGTAGAGTTTTAAAAATCATAATCGCATTAGCTTAATTAATGTAAACAAAGGAGCCAGAGAAAGAGAGGGAAGGTCGCTGATAATGGAGCATATATTCCAGGTGTGATTAGGCATAAAGCAGGAAGTCTTTGAAAAGTTGGATGTCTGATTTGCACTGATGTTTGAAATATGTGTGCTCTAGATTGGAATTAAAAAAGCAAAACCGAAGCAATCTGAATGATAGACTTGGTGGTCAGCTAACTTATCCCTTAACTCAATACTTTTGCACCTTTACCTTTCAAATGGGCAGATGATCAAGAATCGCTCTTGTATTGTTTATTTGCCATATGACTTTTTTTGTTGTTTTAAAGCATTTAGTTTGTGGTTTTGATTGACTAAAAGTGGCAATTGTGGGGGCACAGTACGTGAAAATCCCTCTCCGCATGTGCTGTGCAAGTGCACATCAAAACGCTGCTTGGATTTCTCTTGTCATTCCCCCTTCAGGTGCCTTTCTGGAATGGATGCAATGAGGATGAACACTGTGTCCCTGATCTGGTCCTTGATGCTAAAAATGATATTCCAACTGCCACGTGAGTAGATAATCCAAACGAAATTGTCCTGCTAACCAGGAAATCATGTCACGAAATGCAGAGGATTGCGGAAATCAGATCACAGGTTTAGCTCTTCTCATTACAGAGGATTTTGTCCTGAATTTTTTGTCTCTCTCTCTCTCTTTTTGTCTTTGCTTTTGCCCTGACATTAACCATCTATGGTCCATGTCCCATACACACGCTGTACATATACACCGTGTTAACAAATGATGAAATGCATCATAATTAAGAGCATGCATGCAGAAGGAGATGAATCATGCAGACCTGGTTTGTTTGGGGTTTTTTTGGAGGGAGGAGGTGTTTGTTTTGGGGGTTTTTTGGGGGGGGAGGCGTTGTGTTTGCTGTTTTCATTGTTTCCGAAGGGCTTATCAAAATATAACGTGTTTTTGTTTCTCGTGGCTGGGCTGGTTTGCCCTTTGCAATGGATTTCAGTGGCATTTTCATTACGTGTTTCAATTTCTATTCTGAGAGTGATGCTCTTGTTTGGACTCCCATCATATACTGTAACCACATTGCCAAGGGCTTGCCTGGGTCCAAATGCAGACTAGCTAGCTGCCCAAAGAGGCTGGCATCTGGCTGCCAGCATTAGCATAACGAGCTAACAAACCCAGCAAGTCTGCCTGGTTCTCAGAGTAAAATGCAGTAGGGCATAAAATGCAGGAATTTCTTCACAGAGCAGCTGGATGGTGGGTGGAAGTGTTGTGGCCTCTGCTTCAATGGCCTGCATGATTCCTGTCTGACCCTATCCTTGCCCCACTCATTTAGAGTCTGTGTTCCTGTGGGCCATCTAGTCCAGTATCACGTCTCTGAGAGTGGCCAGTGCCAGACTCTTCAGAGGAAGGTGGACAGACCCTGCAGTAACAGGTGTGGAATAATCACATCTTAGGTCTCATCCTGGTGTCTGATAGGGAGCGATGGGTGAAGCCCTGAAGCATGAGGTTAAATATCTCTGCCAAAATGTTGGTTATTGTCACGCTGTCTGGGAGGACTTAGGAGCGTGTGGGTACCTTATTCAGGGCAGACTGCCATAAATAAGGTAGGAAACCCAAATTGGCTGTGAATTTTATATTTCATTTTCACCAACCCAGCAACAAATATAAACCCCTGAGGCACCGTAAGCCAGATCAAGGCATCACAGACAGTCCCCTCAGGCACTCCGATCCACTAGCCAATCAGCCACACGAGGTTCTGTGATAGATGGATGCTTCCCTCCAAAAATCACATAGATTCCAGGTTACCCCCAGTTCCAAGCGTCACCCAGGTCTGGTTGCATCCTAGATCTCACCCTGCAGCCAATTCTATAATAAACTATCCAAGGTTTATTAGCTAGGGAAAAGAAATGAGTGTTATTGGGAGGTTAAAGCAGGTAACATATATATACAGATGAATCAAAGTTCGTAATCTCAAAAGGTGGCAGAGATGTAATAAGCTGCCAGTTTCCCCAAAGTCTTTTCAGGGTATCTAGATTGTCTCTGGGGATCTCCGCTTTGCATCCAATACCCTTCCGTGTAAGAGTTCAAACAGCCCAGAGATGAAGGATTTTCCTTTGTATTTATATTCGTTCTCTTAGAACAATCTGATAGGGTCACCACCCACACAGGCTCTTCCTTTGATTGACGGAGCGAGTTGAGTGCATTGAGAGTCTTTGACCTCAGATCATCACATAATGGCCACATGCCTTCAAATGCTCACGAATTAGCACTTTCCTTTTAAAGTTCTTCCTTTGCATTGTACAAGGCTTCTTTCTGGTTTGATGGGTTACTTGGTTACAGGGGTCTACCCAGTGTAAATGTTTGCTAGTACATTATATCAGCATGCAGCTAAGTGAAAACAATGCATGCAACATCCCATTAGTTTTCATGAAGTTTAAACGCCAAATACCTTCTTATACATTTAACAATCACTTTGATCTATATTAATACACAAGTGAATTGTCCTGAGGCTTTGGCATGAGCTGGCACCTAGTCTGCCAGCGTCACAGTTATCATTAACTATAAAACTCTGGATTCTCTTGATATCCATAGAAATATCAACCCCTTTTGGAATTTTGCTCCGATCTTGGAGCCAGACTTTTAAAGGTATTTAGGTGCCTAACTCACATGGAAATAAATGGACTTAGGCACCTCAGTCCCTTTCAAAATCTGAGCCTTGCCCTTAACTTCTTCCTGCGGCAATTCCATTTTATATATTTGTATATTTCATTAATTTTCACTTTTTCTGTTTGATTTTACTTGTATTTTACAGCCCCTAGCAAAGTCCAGTAAATTATCTTCTCTTCCCTTCCTCCCTCCACTCTTGTCTCTCCTACCCCCAGTCTGCCAGTGCATGCCCCACCCAGGAGATAACCTCATCCCGGGCACACATGTGCAGTGTGTTGGTGATGGACAACACAACTAACAGGTTTCAGAGTAGCAGCCGTGTTAGTCTGTATCCGCAAAAAGAACAGGAGTACTTGTGGCACCTTAGGGATGCTGATCAGGTGATTTCGCAGTTTCTTTGACAGTGTGTGACACAGTCTCTCAGCATAGTCTGTGTGATATGTAGATTGTAATGGATTTTTTACCTTTAGTCCTTTTAAGGTGCCACAAGTACTCCTGTTCTTTTAACACAACTAATGTTTGACACTATGGTGACGAGCCTCAAGGAAACCTGTCCATAAATACACAAAAAAATGCTGCTGTCACCCAATTATGGGTTTGATGCATGCAGCAGAAACAAGTTTACATTTAGTGTCCTGTGGTCACTTATAAAATCTTCCTAGTAAAGGTTATCTAGGAGGAGAAAAAGAGCCCGCTCCAATGTCCATTAAAATCAATGGAAAATCTTCCATTGACAGTAGTGGGCTTTGGATCCAGCCCTAAATATTTAGCTGCTCTCTTTGCAGTTTGATTTTGGTTCCTGTAATATAATAATTAGTGACTGTGATTCCCAGGAATGTTTGGGCCTAAAAGAGCCCTGGTGCTTGGAGTAATTTTAAACATTGATACTGGGAAAATAGAGTTGTAGAGAATATTTGTGTCCGTAGCAATTGTGTTCAGAACCCATGCTCTGTAGTTGCTAGGGGAGTAGTCTGCAGCAGCCGTTCTCAAAATGTAGTAACCTGAGGACTCCCATTTTGATTTAAAAATTTTCATGGACCCCCAAGCCAGCTTCTAATTTTCCCCGGGGGTACTCAGCCCCAGGCCCTGCCCCCATTCCACCCCTTCCCCCAAGTCCTCACCCTTGCCCCCACTCCACCTCTGCCCCTCCTCTTCCCTGCCTCTCTCCACCCCCTCCCCCGAGCATGCCCCATCCCTGCTCCTCCTCCTCCCTCCCAGCGCCTCCTGCACGCCGCTGAACAGCTGTTCCGCGGCATGAAGGAGGCACTGGGAGGAAAGGGGAGGAGTTGATCAGTGGTGCCTGCAGCCTCAAACATGACTCGTGGATTCCCTGGAGCCAGGCATGACTCACGGACCCTCTGGAGTACCCTCGGTCCACGGACCCCAGTTTGAGAACCTCTGATCTACAGCATGGTTTTTGTTAGCATGTCTATAAGTGTCCCAATGTTCCTAGAGAGAATTTTCAAATTGTAACAACACAAGCAAGAAATTTGTTTTCCTTTTTGCTGAGGCTACGTGAATTCTCTTCCACCCGTGCAGCTTGTGATGTGGCTGCAATAAAATCAAAGCACTAAAATCAAAGCCAGGCCCATTGTGTCTCAACACATCTTCCAGAACAACTGCAACAACAAATGTCTTTTCTCTTCATTCGTATTTGCTGCAATTCATCAGATATGCGACAGAGCTGCTGGTGCTACTTGTGATGTGGTCATGAAATGCCATCATTACAGGGCTTAGGGAAATATGCAGTGCAATATTAAACATGTGCACTGACTTTCTAGGGATGTGCTTGCCAGATCTGCGCATCACACTCATGGAATGTTAAACACCTCCGACCAAATTCTGTACTGATTACACAGGGTGTAAATCAGTGCAGGATATTTCCCCTCAAGTTAACCAATATAATGACCTCAAACCCGCCTTCCCCTGAATGAATAAAAACCCTGAATCCAAGCACTCCTGAATCAAGACCTCAATCCTAATTTTGTGGCCCTTTCCCATTTATCCTTTTTTAGCGCCCAATTTAGCAAGATATTTAAGCACATGCCTAACATTACACGTATAAGTCATCCCCTTGACTTCAATGGAGCTATTCAGATGCTTTAAGTTTGCTGAATAGGGGCCTTAATGTTTCATCTTAAATTGTACGTTTGCAGATATTTATGAATACAGTCTACCGCTCCGACAATGGCTAGCAAATGAACAGGGCTCGGTGCAATTTTTTATGGTTTGCTGTTGCACATCAAGTTTCCAATCCAACTTCCAATGAAGTCAGTGGGAGTTTTCCCTTATTGGCTTTGATGGATGTTAGATCTGGCCCTAAAAGAGAAACAAATATAGGGATCTGCTGAGCAAACCACTGTTAAGTTTCTGTGTGGAATAAACCTATTTGTTGCTGCAATGATGCTGCGGTTGCTTCACCATCACAGGTAACACATTGGTCCCCGCTGCTACATTTTTCCTTTCCTTTTTTTTTTAATATAAAAAAAATTGACACATCCATCAAAAAGTCTGCCAAGTCTGCCACTGTCCAAATTCTTCCCTGGCGCGACTCCATTGCTATCAGTGCACGTATGCCCGGGCTGAGATTTCAGACAGCAAAACTGACGTTATACATCATCTTGACCTTTTTTCTCTTACTTTTCATGTAATGTTTTATTTAGGAGACAATAATCATGCCCAAGTGTGATGGAATGCACCCCTGTATTCACACCCTACACACAATTGTAATAATCTGTACAAAGTATGCTGTGTGCAGAATCATTGGAAAACTCATAACTTGCTAATCAGTAATATCCTGGTGAAAGGTGTACAGCAGCACTACGTGTGAAGTTATACCCTTCCCCCATATGATGTTAAAAGTGCACGTTCAAAACTCACATAGCACCCAACTGGTCAAACAGGCCTGTCTTGAACAAAGGAGTGTGTGCTTGCCTTAATTTGCATTTAAGCAGTAAAAAAGTCATTAAGCAGAAAGGGGGAAGGGAGGAAACAAAAGGAAACCGGCATGTGAGCATACAGAGGTGAAAAAACCCTGCGGGGTCCTACACAGACTCTTTGTCTCCTGGTTCTCAGCTGGAAATGTTTTTGAAAGGGGGAAAGGAAACTATAAAAAGGAGTGGCAAACACCCCAAGAAACCCCTTTCACTTGTCCTTGCCCTCCTCAGTCTTTGTACCTAAGAAGGCAAAAGAAACAGCCATTAGACTTGAAGAGTTTGGTCAGTAATGCTGTTGAAAGCATGTGGTGAGAAAATTTGCTTTAATATAGTTTGTTAAGTTCTAGTAGGCACTAGAAAGTGTTTTATCTTTATTTTTCTTGTAACCATTTCTGACTCTAGTGCCTCATTGCTTGTACTCACTTAAAAGATATCTCTTTATAGTTAATAAACTTGCTTTATTGTTTTGTCTAATCCAGTCTGTTTAAGTTAAAGTGTCTGAGTAACTCTACTTAAGGTAATGAGCTGGTGTATATTATTCCCTTAAAAGAATAATGGACTTAATATATTTGGATTGTCCAGGAGAGGGCTGGGCAGTACAAGACATACATTTGGGGCGAGGGAATCCAGGACTGGGAGTGTGTTGGGGGCACCCTGCAGAAGTAACCCAGGCTGGTAAAAGCCAGAGTGTACCCGCGTGTGGCTGGCAGGCTGTAGTTACACACAGACACTCAGGGTGTAGCTTGCATGCTGGAAGGCTGTTTGTAAGCGCCCCAGATGGGAGGTATTGCAGCAAGGCATTGTAAGGCTCCCAGGGTTGCAGGTCAGGGGTGACACAGAACCCTCACTGCTCTGGATTGCACCCCAGTATGTCACACCAGGGCAGTTAGACAGTGTTATACAACAGCCACAGCAAACGAGAGTTCACAGCTACTCTATTTAGAACCACGTGACTCCTTTCCTTCCTGCGCAGCCTGGGGTATGACAGGCGCACTGGGCAAAGATTTACTTGCACTAGCATTCCCAGCCACGAATGAGTATTTCTTTTTCTTCTTACCTTGGTGATAAGGAGAGAGATTGGATTTATGGCAGCCCTTCAGGCAGTTGTAAAGGATTTATGAAATGGAAGGGCACTGCCCAGTTCACAGAGAGACTAATAAACAGAGCTGGGATGCATTATTTACTGACATTCAGCTCAGCTCTGGCAAGATAAAAAACCCACTAAGCTTAGAAGAAAGAACAGCGACTCAATCATGTTTCTATTTCGTTAGTGTGCGAGTGCATTTCCTATACAGTATTTCTTCTCACCAATGGTCCTCAACAGAAGACACTGTGAGGCCAAGGAGGTCTGGAGAAGATCCCCCTTGAAAGCCCATCATTGCTATCCCTTGCTCTGCCACAAGGGGCACTGTAGTAGGAACAAGCGAGCTACTTCCCCTCCAGTGGCAGGGGATGTTCCCCGTCCCCACTATCCTGGACTATTTGGAATTCATTCTTTTCCTCCCTAAGGCACCTGGCGCGTAGCAATCTACCACCCTGTAAAGGAGACTTAACTAATCCTCCAAACACAGTGATGCACAAATTGTTCATCTACATGAAATATGCTTGCAAGCCTGGCGGGCCCGATTTTCAAACAGGGCCTCTGATTTCTTCCACCTGCAAAACAGTTCTGCACGCAGCAGTATGTACAAAACCCCCTATTTTGGTTGCACAGACTTGCGTTTGTGTATCCAGGTTGGTAGCTGGGTATCAATGTTCATGGCCAAATGCAAGCGTGCCTACTGTTTCACTGATGCTAACATTTGCACACATTTTGCGGGGCTGATTTAAAGGCATCTGAAAACTTAGCCTGTACTATTTGTGTGTAATGCATTAAGCACATACAACTATTGTACGGAGAGTCTCACATTCATTCTAATAGCTGTACGCAAAGACAGCATTTCCAAGCATGCTTATGTACAAACTGATCAATACATTTATTTAACCAGTTTAAATGCAGTGAAAATACATCTTCATTTACCTAATTGGAGCAGCTCAGAGCTCAACTTACTGTGTGTCGATGCATACTAATCATGTAAACTGCCTCCTATGTCAGCAGATAATCTCTTGGATGTATAAGGCGCCCCTGATTATATAAGATCTTTCATGCTATGTGTCTTCCAAAGCTTTTACAGATGAAGTCCTCTAATAACAATGCCAACCTGGCCACTGCTTTAATGCTCTGCTTTTCTCGTAGGGAGTATTGCAGAAGAGTACTGAGAAAGTCACCGTCGGATTGCGCCGCCTACACACTATCTTTTGATACCTCCGTTTTTATCATAGAGAGCACGAGGAGGAGGGTGGCTGTAGAAGCTACACTGGAGAACAAAGGCGAAAATGCATACAGCACTGTCCTAAACATTTCCTTCTCGAGAAATCTGCAGTTTGCTAGCTTGATTCAGAAGGTAAGAACTCCTTTAGAGTCTTCTCCAGTTGGCACTTGTGTTGGGAGCAAATCATTGCCAGTAAAAAAGAGAAATGGCCATCAGTGGGCCTGGGCCTGCACCAAGGAAGCTAATGAGGGTTTTGCCATTGACTTTAGTGGAAATGAAACTGGACCACAAAAAGAGGAGTCATTAGATAGTAAGGGGGAGGTATTGTATGTGTGTTATTCAGTGTATGATGTGTGTTATTCAGTGCAGTGGCTCAACACTGTTACTGTTCTGTTGCATTTCCATAGCCCCTTCCACACTCACTGTACAAAGATTAATTTAGTCTAACAACTCCAATGAGGGGGTACGTCGGGATTGCCAGACCGGATCAGACCCAAAGTCCATCTCGCCCAGTATCCCGTTCCTGACCGTGGCCAACTTCAGTGGAAGGCGCAAGAGACTCCAAAATATACAATTTATGGGGAAAGCTGCCCCATATTGTTCCCTCCAATGAGCATGCCCTTGCGTTGGTCAGCACTGAATTTCATCTGCCCCTCTGCCGTGTCCCCTTAGCATTTTTTGGAGCCTACTCTAGTCTTGAGTAACCAGAAAGATTCCACGTCATCTGCAGATATTGCCATCTTGCTGTTCACCCGCTTTTCCAGATCATTAATGAATATATTACAGCACCCCGGTCCTTGTGCGGAACCTTGGGGCACCCACCCCTCTGGTGAAAGTGTATCATTTCTTCCTATTTGCTTTCTCCTAGCCATTGTCTAATCCATCACAGAATGTTACTTCTCACCCATGATGACTTAGCTTAATAACCTCTCATGATGGACTTTGTCAAAAGCTTTCTTTGGAAAGTTCAAATAAATCAAATTAATTATTTCTCCTTTTTCCACCTTTTTGACACGCTCAGAGATTCTAGGAGATCAGAGGCATGATTTTCCCTTACAGAAGCCATGGTGGTTTGTCCCCATCATGTCACATTCATCCAGTTATTTTTATAATTCATATTACTCATTGTTGCAGAGAATTGAAGTATGGTTTCAACCAATTATCCACATTTTGCAGACAAGGAAATTAAGCCCAAGGAATGAAATTCTAGTATATGCAGCGGCTCAGCACTTTAATCACACTTCATAATAGGCTTTCCATGGGACACATGTGTACCTCAACGACACACATGGGCCTCAGGCTGGCCTCTGTTTAGGCAGCATAGCCTAATGCATAGGGCACTGGACTGGGAGTCAGGAGACCTGGGTTCTATTCCTGGCTCTTCAGTTCCCAACTCTGTGCCTCACTTTCTCCATCTGTAAAATGGGATAATGATACTGACCTCCTGTCGGGACCCTGGTTTCAAACCCAGGCCCACTGGATTCTCAGCAAACAGCCTTGGCCATCATACCTTTCCAATAGGTCAGACTACCAGGAACTCACAGACATGGGTGGGCCAGCTACCAGTGTTCCATGGCCTGCTTCCTGATTGGCCACATGGCCTTGACCCTGATTGGCTGGTGACCCTATATAAACGTCCTGCTTCCTTTCTGGCCATGTCTGAGCAAAACAAGCCATTGTCTGCTGCGAGCTACACGGACTCACCTGACCCTGCCTTGCCGCCCCACCTCATCCTGACTTGCTGCCTCACCCCTCCAGCCAACCCCCTATACCTTCCCCTTGGATTAGATCTCCTGGCTATCAGACCTTTGTGTGGACTCCCACCACTGATCTGGACTGCCCTTCGACCCGCCGGACCCCAAGGCATTACACCTTCTTTTTAAAGCACTGAGGGATCTCCTGATGAAAAGTGCTAGAGAAGATTATTAGTACTTGATTTCTCCTTGCAAAACTGAAAGCTGTTCTAAAAACTCAGGGGGTTAAATTAACTGGCCTAAGTTTCCCTGTTGTCTGTGGCCGAGCCAAGAATAGAATTCAGAGTCCTTGACTCCCAGTTCTGTGCCTTAACCACATGACCACATTTCCTCTTAATCACTCTCCCAGATTTTCTTCTTCCTTGCCTCAGTTTCTAAGAGGAGAAAAGGTCAGGAGAAAGAGAGTGAAGAAGTATTCAAATGATCTTCCAAAACCTCCCGGTGGCACTGGGATGCTTTGCTGTAGCTAAGAAAGATGGGATTAATCAAAGAGCATTGCATTACTCATCTGCAACACATTTTCTCCTTCTTCATTTCTTGGCAGTGCAGCTCTCTGGTGCTCCACCACTGTGGTGCTCCATGCTGCCTGATGTTCAGTCTTTACACTCATATCCCAGATCATGGCCTACACGTCATCCTCAGAGTCGGGTGCAAAGTGAACCTGGTATTCTTTCAGACAGTTCTCACTATAACTCCTGAGATGGAGCTAGTTAAGTATGCATTGTAACAGGGAAAACACGGTGTCTCTTTACTTATCGAGGCTAAACATACATGGGGAAAATAGATGCAGAGCTTATTGCTGTGGAGATCTCGGGATTGGAATCTAACATGACAATAGAAACAGGAGCACCGCTAAAGGGCGTTAGAGGATGTAACCAGATTATCTCAAACTCAGCGCAGAACCAAATCATTTTTGAGCGCTAATGAAGCTTAGTTAGATTTTAGTGAAAACTTTTCCATTTTCACTAGTTATGACTGAGACCAACAGCAAAAGGAATGGCCATATATGCTGATAAGAAGAAGTTCCACAATTTCCTCAGAGAAGATGAAAATGTAATGTGGGATCTAAATCTCCATGCTCCAGGGCAGAACCAGTTACTAACTGCCTGGGGTCAGGAAGAAACTGCTCCTACATTCTGTTCTATTCCATGATTGTGCATTACAGGGAGTCCTGCACTTCTCCCTGAAGACTCTGGTACTGGTCTAGGGTGTGGGATAAAACAGACCCCATGTCAGATCCAGCCTAGCGATTCTATGTCCGTAAGAAGTTTGTCGATGCTTTTGACTTTTAAGCTTCTAAGGATGTTAAATCCTTCATTATTAGAATACAAAACGATTTTTTTATTTGTAAGTGCCTGAGACTCACTAAGATGCTGAGGAACTTATTTCCGCCTTTGCTTTGGCACGCCTACGGCTTTAAAAACAATTCTCCCAAGTTGAGCACGCTGGTGGCCAAGTTTCAGTCAATGAAGAATTTTTACTGTTGAGTTATAGCTCCCCTGAAAATATGGGCTTACAATGGAAACAGAGCCATGACTTAGAGTTGGGCCAGTCGATGCCATTCTAATACTGCTTTGCAAGCGGTATGCTGACTGGAAGATTGAAGGCGGCGCATATGTTTCGAGTATTTGGGACATACAGGGCTCTGTTGAAAACCAGCTTTGCTCAACAAAACAGTCAGAGTCTGGGAATGACCAAAAAATAAAAAGAAACCTCGGATTTATAAACTTCATATGGCAGCAACCACATCACCCACTTTGTCATCCTGCATGTATGTGTGTGGAGAGAGAGGCAGCCTTTCCTCTCGCATCTTCAGGCCTCCTCGTGGTGAATGGAAGATCTTGGCCTTTTATTACAGAACCATCATGTCATGTTGCGTCTCTAGCCACTGCAGCTGCTGCTGACCTAGGTTCAGAAGTGAACTCCACGGGCCTTGTGTTTTCTGGGGCACTTTCTGCTCCCCTGAGAACCCTAAGCAGGATGTCCTGTCATCTCAGGCCCAGCGCCTCTCAGTGGTTTGAGCATTGGCCTGCTAAACCCAGGGTTGTCAGTTCAATCCTTGAGGGGACCATTTAGGGATCTGGGGCAAAAATCTGTCTGGGGATTGGTCCTGCTTTGAGCAAGGAGTTGGACTAGATGACCTCCTGAGGTCCCTTCCAACCCTGTCTATGATTCTATCTTTGGGGGTGCATTTCATGTATGTGTTTCAAACAGCTAGCTACCCTCTGCTTCCCGGTCCCTCCGAAGGCCCAGACTGGAGGAAGGAGGGACTCACTCCTTACCACAGCCATGGTTTACCTTTCCTACTTGGCTTCTTTAACAAGACCTTTTGATCCAACTCCACAGCCACCATAAACACTCACACACAGGCATGCCCCAGGATACATGACAGATAACCCAGATATTTCCCAGTTCATCACCCTCCATCTATCTAATGGTCTTCTCGCAGTCATCCCCATGCTCCCCAAGCACCACCCTTGGCTCCTTTCTTACTCCCCTTTTAGACAGATTTTCCTTACATGAAAGGCCTGTATCTTTTTATCACTGGTTCTCAAACAGCTTAGCATGCCCTGCCTTTCCCCACTATCACCTCTAAGAAATCTGGGCCAAGCGATCATTCAGCACTTCGCTGACATTTCCGCATTGTGTCTAGGCTGTGGAGAGCTTTGATCCATCATTCTGGTTGGGAGTGTAGTAAATGTCTGTCAGCCGTCCAATGGGCGCTCAGAGGAATTCCTGAGACCTCCAAATCCTGCTTCTTGGGAAATGTGCTGATCTTGCTGAGAATTCATTCATCCACTACATGACTTCATAACCATTCCGGGTATCAAATAGCTCCCATTTGGTGGTTTAAAAGTTGTGCCAATGGAAAATTACGGGACATGTTGCCCACAAAATTAGAAAAATGTAAGGGTCTGCTCTGTGTTTTCTGATAGATTACTCCAAATTAACCAAGGAAAAATGTTATGAGATGTAACAGAGTAAGCGCCATGCAGCAGCGTTTAGAGAAAACACTGTTGCCAGTTACGAAAGCTCAGCTCGACTAATGTGCTCCTCGCTACTGTTCATTACAAAGACAAATCGACTAGAGTAATAAGTAGCTCCTTGAGTTTCCAGCTAACTTCGGGATTGTACTCGGTGCTGTACAAACACACAGTAAAAGCCAGTCTTTGTCCCAGGGAGCTCATAGGCCAAATAGACAGAGGATGGGAGAGAGTATTAGTAGTGCCACTTGACAGATAGGGAATGGGAACCGCGGCACAGCGAAATGCTCCAGGTCACGCAGGGAGTTTGTGGCAGAACCAGGCACTGGACTCAGAACTCCGGAGTCCCAATCCAATGCCTTAGCTAGAATGACATCTTTCCTCCCTACATTGCAGCATCGCTGTTACAAGCTGTATTATTTGGAGCATTACTGTAGGTCATTTTTTTTGATGAAGCGTTCCCTTGCTGACTGTATCGTTAAATATAGCAAGTTTATTTTATTGTTGCATTATCTTATTATTCCATTGTCTGATTCATTATTGGGACAGATATCCTGCAATCTCCTGGACAAACCATATTGAACTAAGTTAAAGTGTCTTAAGAGGTCATTGCGTTAAAAATGCAAATGTTATGTAGTATCGTGGGCTGGTATGTAGCATCTTTTAAGGAGGAGACAGGACTTAGGTAAACACCGGGAAGTGTCATGTGCTTCCAAGGACTCTTGAGAACAATGGACCAGACAAGGCTGAACTTCTAGCTGAGCGAGGTTCCCGGGAAAAACTTGGGACGAGGGGAATGCAAATGTCTCACTACCGGGCCATCCTTTGGAAGCTGCACCTTGAAGAGAAACCCATTGTCTGGCTCATGACCTAGTCCCGGTCTCTTCAAAGACCCAGCCTGGCTAAAGGAGGGACTCCGTCACTCCTGGGGGAGCTAGTTCCAAGCGAAAGCTGTTCTGAACTGGTGACCACAGGAAAAGCTCCTGAGTGGGCTTTGAAGAACTAATCACCAGCCAGAGCCCTGGTTGGAGTTAGGGGCTGATTTCTGGGAAGCTTTTTAGCATGCGTGTAGATTCTTGTGTTGTTTTTAGTGTGTTTTCTCTGTAATGGCTTTACCTTAAGACTAGACGGGCTTGCTTAGAAAGAGCTGTGTGAGAACTTCTAACTGGGCCATTGCACTGTCTACTTCCTCTGAAGGGAGAAGAGAAGCAGGCCTGCTTAGGCAGGCTGCCTTTTGCTGGGGATACCACAGTATGGTCAGGGGACTGCACAGCCTGGAAACACCCTGGTTGGGTGGGACTCTCGTCTCCACCCAAGAGAGGTGACCCCAGAGGGGGAATACTGGTTCAATTGCCCTGACTTGTGGGGATGATTATTTACTGTTTGTATTAAGATAGCACCTAGCTGCCTCAGTCATGGAGCAGGACCTCCCTGTGGCAGGGGCTGTACAAAAAGATGCCCCCAAAGAGTGTACATTCTAAGTAAGTTAATTATCACTAACATGTGGTCACCATGTAATAAAGGAAGTTGGGCTATTTCTTGTTATTTCTCTAGCACATTTGATCATAGAAAATCTATTCTTCTTTGTGATTATTGGTCCAAGGATAATCAGTTTTATTTGGTCTTTTTCATTCATCGCTGTATCTAAAATCCCAGAGTAGGATTTAAACCAAGAAATTTGAAATTGGCTCTGTGAATGTGATACTAGTTTAACAGAACTGCATGGGAAGAATGTCTGGCCTTCAACAACTGTAGTTTCCCTGTTTTTTAAGCTTCAGTTCGGATGTCTTTCGGTCCGTGTGCACAGCCACAAGGAGCGTGTTGGCTATGAGAAATGTGCTGTGGGTATCTCTGGTGTTTCTGGTAACCTGTGGTATTCCATTTCAGGATGATACAGACGTCAATATTGAATGCATGAATGAAGAAAAGCGCCCCAACAAGAAGGTGTGCAATGTTAGCTACCCCTTCTTCCGAGCCAAAGCAAAGGTAAAGATAGTTTCTGCTATTTGACATGGCAAGTCCAAATGAAATATGAGGACAGGGAGAAAAGTTCCTCCACTGAGCCGAGCCTCTGTTGATCGCTCCCAGAGAAACACTGGGGCTGCAGATTCTATTTCAGCCATTGGAACAAAGTAACCTAGGGAGAGCAGAGCCCCACTTGCTTCCGGAGCTAAGGGGGAGCATTCCTGTCCAGATCTCTGCCCAGAGCCCTGCCTGCATTGGGGCTGGGCTAAGGATCTGGCCCAACAGGGATGAGCAAAATGATTCAAAGACTAGTATTTGCTTTCTTTTCTATTGCAGAAGGCCACCAGTGTTAGGGGACAAGAGGTCAGCTAAGAGGTGTCAGCAGCATAAAAGTTGCATTGAATCCTAGCCGATCTTCAGGCAGCCAAATTAAAACCAGTCACACGGAGACAAAGAATTTGACTTTAATCCTTTGGCACAGTTTAATGTTGGCTGTTCCGATCTGCTGCTGCCTTACAAAATGAGTCACCTTTTACTGGTTAGGTAGAGCAGGCTAAATTCTTCTCTCTTCCATTTCAACCAGACCCTCTGCCCCTCATTCATCATACTGGAGATGTTCACGTGAATTTGCGCAAAAACAAAAAAGAGAGAGAGACCGAATGAAGGAAACCTCACTAGTATCAGTTTGGTGAAGAGCGTATCACGTCTAAGGGTGTTTTCTCAGATAAACTCCTCGGTAGCACTCTTTTTAACCCTATCCATTCATTTTAGTTCTATATCAGCTAATATTTTAGAAACACTGATCAAACATTTTAATGAGCGTCAACATATTTAGTTCATTACATATGGGCTCAAAGACACACTTCACTTGTTGTTATTCAAATTATTATGTTATTCATACGCAAATCCTTGCACTAAAGATCTTACAATCAAAGTTGACAAGACACAGCAGGTGGGAGAAAGGAGGTATTGTTATCCCTACATGACAGATGAGGACAGGAGTGGCAGAAGGTCCCTAAAAGTGGGGGGGCCGCAGGCGCCTGAACCGTGGCACCGCCGTCACATCGCCCCCTTCCTCCCGAGGCCACCCCCCGTACTGCCCCTTCTCCCTGAGCCCCCACCCTCGTGATGCTCATTCCCTCAAGGCCCCGCCCCTTCCCCCGAGACCCTGCTCTCGCGTTGCCTCTTCCCCCCCAAAGCCCCACCCCCACACTCTCTCCTCTCCGCTCCTTCCCCCTGTCGCTTGCCTTTATCGACAGTAAAAGGGGGGGGGGCATGGCCCCCTGGATCTCCCTGTTCTGGCACCCATGGATGGGGAATTTAGGCACAGAGAGATTAAGTAACTTGCCCAAGGTCACATAGCAAGCCTGCGGCAGATTCAGGAATTAAACCCAGATCTCCAGTCCTGTGATTTTACCACAAGTTCCATTCTGACAGCTTAGTATCCCTGGACTTGGAGGTTTTCAAAAGCCAAACTGAAATCCGGATTTAAATGTTGCAATTCTCAGAATGAGCTGAAGGAAGATCATGGATATGATTTTGCATCTGCATCCAAATTTCACATCTCCAGTGTTTGTGGCACATTTTACCAATATGAATATTTTTTTTCTTCTTCTAAACAAGGAATGGATTGCACCTTCAGCAAGTTCACGGATGACACTAAGCGGGGGTGAGAGGTAGATAAACACTGGAGGATAGGGATAGGGTCCAGAGTGACCTAGACAAATTAGAGGATTGGGCCAAAAGAAATCTGATGAGGTTCAACAAGGACAAGTGCTAAGTCCTGCACTTAGGACAGAAGAATCCCATGCACTGCTACAGACTGGGGACCGAATGGCTAGGAAGCAGTTCTGCAGAAAAGGACCTGGGGATTACAGTGGACGAGAAGCTGGATATGAGTCAACAGTGTGCCCTTGTTGCCAAGAAGGCTAATGGCATATTGGGCTCCATTAGTAGGAGCATTGCCAGCAGATGGAGGGAAGTGATTATTCCCCTCTATTCGTCACTGGTGAGGCCACATCTGGAGTCTTGCATGCAATTTTGGGCCCCCCACTACAGAAGGGATGTGGACAAATTGGAGAGAGTCCAGCGGAGGGCAACAAAAATGATTAGGTGGCTGGGGGCACATGACTTATGAGGAGAGGCTGAGGGAACTGGGCTTGTTTAGTCTGCAGAAGAGAAGAGTGAGGGGGATTTGATAGCAGCCTTCAACTACCTGAAGGGGGATTCCAAAGAGGATGGAGTTAGGCTGTTCTCAGTGGTGGCAGATGACAGAACAAGGAGCAATGGTCTCAAGTTGCAGTGGGGGAGGTCTAGGTTGGATATTAGGAAACACAATTTCACGAGGAGGGTGGTGAAGCACTGGAATCGGTTACCTAGGGAAGTGGTGGAATCTCCATCCTTAGAGGTTTTTAAGGCCCGGCTTGACAAAGCCCTGGCTGGGATGATTTAGTTGGGGTTGGTCCTGCTTTGAGCAGGGGGTTGGACTAGATGACCTCCTGATTCATCTATGATTCTATGAATTAGCATATATATCAACTCCCTGTATGTTATGTTAGAGGGGAAATGGGGTGACAGGCTGACGTGTTGGACTATAAAGAAGCAGGTCATGACAGAAGCTTTCCCAGACTCAAAACAATATATTAGTCTGAAACCTTTGCCTGTCAGGAGCTCGAAAATGATGGATATGCTTCATTCACGTCTCTAGAATGTAAACCTGGCAATAAAGCTGTCTTGTGTGCTTGTGGCCATAAAATAAAATGGAGCAGCCCGATTCCACATGACCTACAGCGGCTAAGAATGCATCTGCGTGGCATCAGGTAGTTCGGGTCCTGCCAAAACAAAGACAAGCTGGAAATGGAAATTTGGCCCTGGGAGCCGGACTAGAATTTTAATATTATAATCAGCTGTGCACCGCCCCAGACAGTTTGAGGTCATTGCCACGTTTTTTTCAGATCTGCCATTAATGACATTTTATTGTTGTTGGAACGTCTCTTTGGCACTTCTTGTCCCCCATCGGTGGAAACAATGCCTCAGATGTGAGTTAACTGTATGGCACCGTGAGCCTGATAGGCCTTTAACAAAAAGGATTTTTTTGTTCTCTATTCTAAATAATAATAATAATTTTAAACACACACACACAAACAAACCACCAAGTCAGTAGCTGTTTTCTCTGGAAAGATATGGCTCTGTTTGAAACTTGCCAACCTCTCGCGTAACATTTCATCAATGATCTTTCTCCCACGCACTTTGTGACTGGCTGGAAAGTTGTGCTCTGCTGCGATAGGGTTAATGGGAAAGGATGGTGGCAGAGGGGAAGCTCATGTCTGCGACAGCTGGATAACTGTATTTGTTTAATGTGGTTTTTTTCAATCTGTTTTTAATCTCTGCAGGTGGCTTTTCGCCTGGATTTCGAATTCAGCAAATCTATTTTTCTTCAAAGCATGGAGATCTATCTAACTGCCAACAGGTTAATGATTGCATTATTTTTCTGTTCCCTTTGCACATATTTATCACCTTTATTTTCTAACTAAATACAATGCTGTCTGCACAGATCTCGTCTTAGAGCGCCTGTCATCTTCTCCCTCCTGTTGCAGCTTAACTGTTGATGGTTTTCACCTCTCCCTCTTCCTCCCCATGCAATGGCAGCCTGAGATTTTTAATTGGAGTGAGTTTGGAGAGCACAGATACTCTACAGCTTTGTTCATAGTTGACAAGAGCCTGCATTTCAATCTTCAATATCTATTAGCATCGTTCAGCAAAGCTGGCAACCTCTGCTCTGGAGGCACCCAGGGCATAGCATATGGAAATTAAATTACCTTTGGCTGTTAGAAAATATGTAGCGCTGTACTTGTAAGTCATGGCTCGCTCTCTCTCGCTCTCTCTGGATATCTGATGTGCTTCAGCTGCCAGCAATATTCCAGGGTGTGTGGATGAATAGAAAGTGACACTTGGCAATGCTTTTCGTTCAGCTGCTTTCACAAACACAAACACTCCCCGTAAAAATACCTTATGCTTGTAAAGTTCTACTCACCCACTTGCCCGGCACAAGTAAATTGTTTTGACAGGCAAGTAAAATCTGATTAGGGTTTTGTTGGTTTGTTTTTGTTTGTTGTTTCCCGCATCAATCATCATGGCAAAGGGCAGCCAAGGAGATTTTGTGCCTGGGCTAGTAAATGTTCATGACAATTTTGCAAGGCTGCTCTGTGCTCTGAGGAAGGTTTTGGTAACCTAAATTCACTGCCTTGACCTGGGAAAAGTTACTAAGGAAAATCTGCTTCTGTCAGCTCATTTGCCAGTAACATAAGAACATAAGAACGGCCGTACTGGGTCAGACCAAAGGTCCATCCAGCCCAGTATCCTGTCTACCGACAGTGGCCAATGCCAGGTGCCCCAGAAGGAGTGAACCCAATAGGTAATGATCAAGTGATCTCTCTTTTCTATGACTTCGGCACACACTTACTTGGCATCTTCCAGAAAAACACAAGAGGGCAAATTCTGACTCATCCAGAACTGGTTTCAAAGGCTATGTTTACGCTGCCTTGTAAACCCGGGTCTGTGGGACCCTGGCTTCTGGGCTTGGTGTTTCCAAACCCACGCGTCAGTGTCTACACTGCCTTGTAAACCTGGGTTTACAGTTGCTGGACCTGGGTCTCACAGCCATACTGCGCTACCAGGACCTTCTGACTGGGTCCTGCAGCATGAGCTGTGTCCACACTGCAAAACGACAGGGCTTGGACCCAAGTCACAGCAGGACTCAGGTTCTGACCCATCCCCCTAGCAGGGTCCTAGGAACTGGGTCCCATGTGCTTGCTGACCCGAGTCCGACTGATTTGTGTGTGCATGGAAGTGGGGCTTGGGCTCAAACTTGAGTGTAGACATGGGTGCAAATCAGAGTCTGATCCTGTACTCACTGAAGTCAATGGGCCTTTTGCTGTTGATTTCAGTGACTGCAGGTTTAGAGCCAGACACTGTACAACTGAACGAGTGCGTTCTGCCCAGAGGCAACCCAGTTTCCTTAACCTAAGTCTGCGTGGAACATACCTAACTTGTACCATGCCCCAACCCTCTAGGGCCCATCCTCTAACACTGCACTATGTATTAACCAGCTCTCCCACCATAGATGCCTTCATACCCGTATAACTGCATCCATGCTACAGAGTTGTACTGATTCAACTAAATCATTTTCTACCAGTTTAGTTACATCATCACAGAAATTGTGTGTAGACAGTGCCTTTGTAAACTAAACAGAACTCTCCTTATTAGCAGTCGCTACCAGCTACTTCCTATGAGAGAAGATGCTTCCCTGTTGCGAATTCTGCCTTCTACTCTTGGCAATCACACCCCAAAGCAAAATAAAACGGACTGGGAATTATGAGGTTATGTGCTGGACTGAGGCTCTGAAATGCCAGCAGAAACCAGGCAGGAAGAGGGCAAGGGAAATTTTTAGACAGAAGCTTGACAATAAAGCAGAGAGAGAGAGAGAGAGAACATCATTTCCCTTATTCTAATAAAGTTTCTTGTTCAGTGTTAGAAGAAAGCATCTGGTCCTGTGATTCTTTACCATTTTCACAAAAGAGTGATGGACACAGAGTGCTGTTTGTTAGAAGTTCAACCGTTATTCTTTAAGATGTTTGTGTACCACTTTCCCAGCACAGCTGTTATGTGCCTGTGATCTCATTGGCCCGGACTGACTTCCATTGCTGTCCTGCGTAATTGTCAGCTTTGCGGCAAACACCGTGTGATCTAAGTTATTAACCAATCAGGATGCTTTTACTGTGCTGTTAACCAATTGTAGTTGATAAAATAATACTTGGTCAGTCATTTTGCTGTGAGAAATAGAAAATGAAACCAGGAGTTCCCACGACTGTGGCTCTTTGGGGTAATGTTGATCGCTAGTTTGGCTCCAGAACCACTGAGGTCTGAGTATCGCTGCTCTAAAGTTTAGGGGGCGGATTAATTCTTTGCAGAGTTTGTGAATCATGCGGTGTCAGCAATAAGTGCCTTTTATATGTTCCTATCCCACCAGCCCCGCCTGGTGTAAGCGCCAAGGTGAAGGGCCTCTGTCCCCTGCCCAAATAGGCACGAGTAATTGCAGAATGTTGTTACTGTCATTCCCCTGCCTTCCCAGAAATTCATTGCACAAAATCAAAGCAGTTCCCTATATTTTTTACCAGCTCTGACAGTTCATACGTGAAGGGACGGGCCCTAAGAAGGCCTTGTCAGCAGCTAGGGGCCAGCGTCCCAGCCCTCCATCGAGAATCAATCGTCCCATTTGGACTCTGTGCTGTGGAGTCAGCAAATTAATCCTCACGCCAGGGTGGGCTGTTTCCCCCCGCTGTGGGGAGTGGCCTAAATGCTGTTTTCCTTTGCTTGGCTTCCAGTGACAGCGAAGAACAGGAAAGTACCAAAGAGGATAATGCTGCTCTCCTGAATTTTCACCTGAAATACGAAGCCGACCTCCTTTTCACCAGGTTTGTGGTCATCGTGGCCGGGGGGTTGAGGAATCGGTCGCTGAGCAAACCCGGCCCAAACCCTGCAGCCCTTGCTCAACCCTGATACCCACTGCTCCCAGGGCTGCACGTTTCCCTGCCTCGGGGGAGGACGCTCAGCTAACGGTTTGCCTGGAATTGTTCCATAGAGACTGACGGGCTGGGGGCTCAGCTCCCTAAACTTGAGTCAAGGGTCTCCATGGGAAGGCTTCTTGCCTCTGCACTTCTGTCCACACGTCCCCAGCGCCTCTGCCCCGCAACGTGCTGCCGGGCGCTGGGTGTGGGGAGCTCCGCAGCAGGGAGGGGCGTCCTGGGCGAGGCCCCCTGCGCGTTTGGGGGAGAGAATCTGGCATGGGGGTGGCCAGCCTATGGCAACCACCTGTGTTAGATGGGAATAAGGGGAAACCACATGAAACACAAGGGACAAGGTTTTATTTTAAGGGGCTTTTTAGGGAAAAACCATTTTCCGTAACATATCATGTCTTTTTTTCTCTGATGTGTACATTTCTACTGCCCTCGGGTATCCAATGCAATTATCAGGAACTTCAATTCAGTGGTTAAAATGGTACTTGTGATCAGGTTTAATACATTTCAATGCATCTTCAAATGAGGGACAGGTGGTCCCCCTAGCACAAATCAATGAAATAAGGGACTGTCCCTTAAATGAAGGGCCAGGTGGTCAACCTAGGCCAGTCCCACCACCAACTACCAGCCTGTAGAACGGGCTGCCCCTGATTGGCTTCCCCGAGCTCTGGGAGAAGAGGGGAGCATGCCACAGAGGTGTGATGGATCCGCAGGTGCGGGCCCCACTTTGCATTTTGGGTTAGAGCAGCAGGGTTTGTGGCTGCTCTCGGAAAGGCGAGAGAAGAACGCACGTTGGTTTCGAGGAACGGCTCCTGGGTAATGCTGGCCGAGCTCTCTTGCGAGAGGACCCAGCTCAGCTGCGGTGAGGGTGTAATAACGCGGCGTAGCAGAACAGGCCCACGCAGCAGCTGGGGAGGCAGGAACAGCTGACAGCTAGCAACGCTGAGAACACGAAGGCTGCTGCGAGTGAGGCCGGAATATGCAGCCGGCGGCGGCTTTGCACACCCACTCCTGGGCGTGCAGTGACCTCTCCAGCTAGCCCAGATGTGTGGCCGTTTGTGCCACATGCAGAGAGGGACGTGCAACAACAGAGGCTGCAAACTCTGCATGTGGCATCCGAGCCACCAGTGTCCCAGCTGTGTGCACAGGAGGGGCGGGGGGATTGGCAGCATCAATGAAATGTTCCGGCTGGACTGGACCATATCAGATACCCCTTAAAAAACCACACTACCACTTTCAAAGTCGTGCAGCTGGGAAATCCTGGTGCACGTTGCTAGAGAGAAGACATGGGAATGACTCTTTCAGCGTGTAACTAGAACTCTCATTAGCCCACTGAAAAGCTTCCTTGTAAGGACCCAGGTTGCAGCTGGGGGGACGTATCCTTTGCCAGGTCTGTTTTGCGTACCGGGAGGTCTGGGCTCCCCAGAGACACGGGCCAAAGAAGCACTAACGCAGCGAAGCGGGTGAGCTGTACGGACGGGCTGATTCACAGTCCTGGCAATCGGCCCGGGCGGGGAAAACCTCCCTGTTAGCCAACAGCAAGAAGGGTAGGAAGTTTGTGCTGCCACCTCAGGCCCTGTGGGAATTCAGACAATGGTTGGCTTCGTGTTTGTAAAGTCCCATTCAGGGGCAAACTGGGACTCCGACAGGGACCCTGCGCTACGGCCTGAGAGACATGGAGCAGAATTTCTGAATTCTAACCGTGGCCACCAAATTAGCTGTTTGGCCTTGGGTGAGCCCCTGCCCCTCTCTGGGTATCGGCTTTCCGACCTGTAAAAGGAAGATGGTAACAGTCACTTTGCCTGCCTCATAGGGGTGTTTGGAGGAATAATTAGCTAGTGGTTGATGCTAAAGTGCTATACAATGACATCACTTTTCATCAGCAGATCTCAGCGACGGCAAAGGATTTCAGTCTCCTCATCTCCATTTGACAGATGGGGAAACTGAGGCACGGAGCATGCGGTGACATGCCCCAGGTGACCTAGCAGGCCGGTGGTAGAGCCACAAATAGAACTTGGGTCTGCTGAGTCCCAGTGCAGCGCTCTGTCCGCTAGGCCACGCTGTCTCCAATGCCTGAGTAAGAGCTCAGTGACACTGTTGTGGCCCAAAGCCCCGTGGGCAGCTCACAGAGGGTGCCCTCGGTGCAGATACTCATTTCTGCAGAGTGTGGGGGTTGCACGCTATCTCTGTGGTGCCATCTCACCACGCAGTGCCTTTGGGCGTCAGGGAGCCCCAGTGGGGTTGGGGTCGCCCCCTACCACGCCCTGGTGAAAAGCCTGTGGACAATGAATGGAAATGTTTGGAGGAGGGTCCCCGCACACCTGCCTTCCTGTGGCCTAATCCTGCACCAGACTAGTCAATGGGTGTGTAGCCATTGCCTCCATTGGGAGCTTGGTCAGGCCCTTAAAGGGGGTTGGGGGGACCAGGGGCGGATCTCTGTGAGGGAGCTGTGGGAAGCCCTGGGTGGCCATGGAGTTGACCCGGAGGCTCAGATCCACCGCGCTCCTAGCTTAGCATTGACACGGTGCTCATCAATGCAGTGGGTGAGCCCTGCAGGACCCAATGCCTGTACCGTACAAGGTCAGACTACCCCCTGATACAATGATCCAAGCTTCTGTGAGCTGTGGCACTTGGGCTATTACTGTGGTATCTTTCCTTTCCTCGGTCACCTGGGGCCGGAGTTTTCCTTATCAGCAGGGCCTCTGGCACTCCTTGCTTAGAGTTGTTTGAAGGGCATTTCCTTAGCCTGTTTGGAAAAGAAGCCCCATCTGGAGTGGGCCGTAGTCCAAGCTTCAGAGAAATCTGCAAAGGAGATGTTTGCTGTGGTGCTAGTCTGGATTGAATAACAATGGTACAAACGCAACTCTGCTTGGCAGCATCAAAGGGGCTACCGTTCAGGGCTACCGGCTTTGGGTTTTCTGCTGGCCAAGAGAGCGTTGGAGTGTTACTCCTGACTGGAGCGTGATGCGGCCATTACTTTGTAGCTCTGGCACTGCACAGCGTCTGTCTGAATCAGGATCCTTTGCATCAGAGAGGACCAGGCTTTCCCTACCGATTCTAGTGCCACCGGTGTTTCAGCTGTTCCGCGTGTTTCAGAGGGGAACCGCAGTGATTTCCATGTAACCCGGCTTCCCAAGCAGGCCACAGATTGACAGCAGTAGTTTGCAGTGGAGGAGTTAACACACTCTCACTGGCTTCTTTTTCCCAACAAGTAATTTCAATTCGGGTTTCTGGGGTATTTAGATTCCTACTTTCCTCCCAAGGTGAAACTCTTTCCAATGATGTAATTATGCTACATTATCATTTAAAGATTACAGTCCAGTTTTCTTCTACTGTGCGTCAGTCTGGAATACAGATATAAATGAGGCCAAGGTGATAACTCACCGACATTCCAGTGCAATGCATTCTTCCAGCCAAACCCCCCAGAGCCCTGCTAAATAGATCTCATGCAATATTTCATAGCATCCTGATTAGACATATTCCATATGGCATGTGGATTACACACAGGAAGGGAAAGCAATCTAAACCGGAGGGATTTGTATATTATTTAAAATCTGGATTGTGGGTGTGTTGTTGAAAAAGACTAACTCACACTGTGGTAAATACAATATAAATGAGAGGAAAAGATTAGTTTGCACATGAAAGGAAATGTAATGTGAATGTTCATTTTTGAACACACACATTGATTGCATTCATAAGACCATAAGAACGGCCAGACAGGATCAGACCAATGGTCCATCTAGCCCAGATCCTGTCTTCCAGCAGTGGCCAATGCCAGGTGCCCCAGAGGGAATGAACAGAACAGGGAATCACCAAGTGATCCATCCCGTCGCTCATTCCCAGCGTCTAACAAACAGAGGCTAGGGACACCATCCCTGCCCATCCTGGCTAATAGCCATTGATGGACCTATCCTCCACGAACTTATCTAGTTCTTTTCTGAACCCTGTTATGGTCTTGGCCTTCACAGCATCCTCTGGCAAAGAGTTCCACCAGCTGACTGTGCGTTGTGTGGAGAAATACTTCCTTCTGTTCGTTTTAAACAATTCCTCTTTGTAAAGTGTGGGTGCGATGCCCAGGACCGGCCACAGATGACAGCTCTAAACACGCTGCGGGACAGCATTGGTGAACTCTCTGTGTCAATGCTCAGCTGCCCCGCTTCAGCCCAGGAGCAGCTCAGCCGAGGGAGGGGCAGAAATGTGGCCACCTGAGTGCTCCCTGATCTGGGCCAGTCTCCCAGCATAAATCAGAGCAGTCTTCAGGGTGTTCTAATTTACAGTAGCTGCAGATGGCTCCGAGGAGGGGCCTAGAGAAGGCCTGGAGTGACCTCCGACCCCTGCAATAAGGGTGGCGGAGGAGCTGCTGCTCTGGCTTTGTGCACCACTGCGTGGAATTCTTCCCATGGCGAGCCAGCTATCGGGCAGCGGTGTGCCAGCAGCACGGTGTAATCAGCCACCGCAGAGCTCCCCAAAGGTGAAGGCCTTCTCTGTTTGGCTTGAGTTCCATTAAAGCCCTGCCCACGTGACCCGTTTGTAAAATTCGCTAGCCGGGTTTACATCCACATGCCACAGGTTTGAAACCAGGCGTAGCCCAACCCGTGGGGATGTTCTCTAGAGAGCATTAAAATGGTCTTCGGGAGAGAGCCGTGTGGCTCTGACAGGAAGGATGGTCTAGTGGTTAGGGTGTTAGTCTAGGAGTTCTGGTTGCAAGTTCAAGTTCTGACTGAGGTTTCTGCTGTGATCTTGGCCAAGTCATTAAAGGTCTGATTTTTTTAACGTATTAGGCATCTAATTCCCACTGAAATCAATGAGAGTTCGGCTCCCAAAGACATTTAAAAACGTGCCTAAATAGCTTTAAAAATCAGAGCCTACTAGCCTCTTGTGAGGATAACACTGAAGATTGTGAAGCACTCCGATACTATGGTAATGGGCACCATATACGTACCTACGGGTGTACATGTACGCAGCAGTAAAGAACCCACAGCAGCACATCCCAGAGCCTAGATCACCTGACTGAGGCGGGGGGAACGTGGGCCACTGCCGTAACAAGGGCGAGGCGAGTGAGGCACTTGCCTCGGGCGCGCAAAGCGGAGGGGCGCAGCTCTACCCCCCAAGCAGGGCAGAGGGGGGAGAAAAAGCTGCAATCAGCGGCGCTTCGGCGGCAGCTCTACCGCCGCCGCTTCTTTGGCAGCAATTCGGCGGCGGGTCCCTGAGTCCGAGAGGGACTGAGGGACCCGCCCCCGAATTGCCGCCGAAGAATGAATGAAGCGGCAGCGGCGGCAATTCGGCGGCAGGTCCTTCCCTCCAAGAGGGACTCAGGGACCCGCCACCAAAGAGCGTGGAGCCGGCCCTTGCCTCGGGTGCAAAAATTCCTTGTTACGGTTCTGACGTGGGCTGCGGGGCTACAAATAGCAGTGTAGACATTCAGGCTTGGACTGGAGCCTGGGCTCAAAGACCCTTCCCCCGCGCGGGGGTTCAAAGCCCGGGCTGCAGCCAGGGCAGCTACACCGCTATTTGTAGACCAGCAGCCCCGAGCGTCGGGACTCTGTGCTGCGGATCTCTTACTGCAGTGGTGCCGTCCCCTAAGATAAGGCGACATGGTAACCCTATTTTGAAAGCACTTTCACTGATATAACCCCAGGGCAGTTCGGATGTATTTGCTTTCCCACAATAGCCAGCGAAAAGCCACTGCCTTGCAATGGAGCATTTAATCCCCTTTACTGTGGCTCCCATAGAAAGGCATTATTTTAAGTCGTCTCGGTGACAGCTTAACTATTTTCCGAAAGGGCTCGGCTTTCCGCTGCTGCAGACTAGACTTGAGCTTTGGTTTTCAGTTTAGAAAAAAAATATGAAGTAAACATCAAACCAGAGTCCCTTGGCAATAATCCCACTGTGCTGTCTATAACACTCAGTGGCTACATGTAAAAACCGACTGTAAAAAGCAATGAGGTGATGGGCGTTTCATAATGTTTTAACACACAAACGTGCGTGTTATTAAGTAGGTGTGAGTGTGATTTCTTTAAGAGAAAAACTACTTACTGGACACAATACTGTTCCTAGCATGTGTTACCAACCTCTGATGTGACTTCACATCCCTGTGTCTGGACTCTTAGTCATTGGCTTTAAAATAATCTCACCCCTACCAAAAAAAAAAATGATTGCAAGGGAATGTGCAGAGGATTTTATGCATCACGTTAAAAAAATGTTTCTCCGGGGTGGCAATGCATAGTTCAAGGAGAAAAGTGAGCTAAAGTTCAGATGACAATTTATTTCCACGATTATAAAAACGCAGCATATATGAGCACATTCCGTGGCTGCCCCTATCCGGGCTGTAATTTCTACCAGATTTTGGAATCTTTCTGAGATTTCTTATACTCCCGCCAGTGGGGCCCAGCAACCAAAGTCACTTTATTCCTTGTGATTTATGGGACTGTTTCTTTTCATTTCAACAAAGAACCACGCCACAAGCACAGAGAACGAACATCTAACCGTCTGGTCACACTAAAAAAGGAGGACTTGTAAGTTATTTGTTGGCCAAAGGCTTTGTGCCTGTGTACCCGGATGCACACCCACCAGTGACTGTGTTCCACCATGCAGAGCTGCACGCCGGCTAGCAGAGATTCCTCAGCTGGGGTGTGCGGAGCTGGCCGTCTGTGGCAAGCTGGCTGGTCACATGGTGCTGGCGCCTTCCCAGGGTTCAGCTTCTAAATGGTTATTTGATTAGTTGATTTATATTTACACACCATTGAGCTCAACGTCCAGAATTCTTGCAGTGTTGGGCCCTGTCTATGATATGTATTAGCTAGAATAATTAACCAGCTTCCTGTAGTACCGTTATTCAGATTCTGCCAGTGAATGTATTGCTGGTGAAACTAGAGTCTAGCAAACCAAGGTGCCAAGGGAGCCCGTCCACACAGTCCTGCCCAGGCCCCTTTCTCTGACCCGGCCCCTGTCCTCCTCTGCCATCCCTCGAGCGGTTAGTACCATCCAACGCTAGGTTGCTGCAGCTCCTGGCTGATGAATGATGGGCCCTCTTGTTTCTGATTGGTTGTTTTGCGGAGAAGTGACGCGCTCTCATTCGTTGTCACGACAGGAGTTCGAGTCTGGACTACTATGAAATCAAGTCAAACAGCTCCCTGGGGAGATACGACAGCATCGGCCCTCCCTTTAATTGCACATTTAAGGTAAGGCAACGTTTTCAAGGGATGGGTCAAAATCCTTCCCTTTGCTAGGCCCAGGGATCAATAGGGGGCTCTTAAATTAGCCAGGGCCCTGCCTGGGGGCTGGCACCTGACACAAGGGGGCCTGGCCTGGCACACACCGCGTCGAGATCAGGGGAGCCCTGGCAGAGCTTTGGGCCACCTCTCACAAGGGCTGCGTGTTCCTAGGCCAGAGCCGTTGGTACATGACCTCAATTGCTTCTTGCGGCTCGCGAGGTCTGTCATCGCCGGAAGACGTGAGAAGCAAAGATCTGGCAGGGTAAAGCCTCTATCCTGGAGGAAGCTGTGGCTACTTCCCTGTGGAAATGAGTTCTCCCTAACCCAACGGCCCCTCTTCACACCAGCCCTCCTGGCACCACGCTGCTTTTGGGGCAGACTTTCCACGCGCTGGAATAAGAATTCGGGTTTGCTAAAGGCCAGTGGTTTGGAAAGCCTGCTCCCCACTCGTCCCAGCACGCTTCTGCTCCCCCCCCCCCCCCCCCGCCAGGCTTCAGAATCCAATCTCCATCCCGAGCCGCAACATCTGCAGGGCTGTTTGTAGCATGGTAGCGCTGTCGGCCCAAGGCGGGCGCCTCACTGCCATGGGCTGTGTAGACACCTTCTGTGCTACAATGACCGTCTGCAATGTGGGAAGAATAGCACTTCCCTACCTGTTGGGGGCGCTACAAGGACAGTCCATTAGCGGTGACCAGACATCATGGTAATGAGGGCCAGATAAGGCCCTAAAAGAGAGAGATGATAGATTTTACTACCAACACACCCTCAGTAAAACAACCGATTGCCTCACCTGATAAAAAACATAGTGTCCCAATTTAGGTCCATCTCACAACAAAAACCCACCAATTATCCCTGAGCAAAGAGCTTGCAACTGACAACTTGCTCTTTCTCACCTAGTACAAAAAGGTCACACTCCTCGAATGCTGATTCCCTGTGTTAAAACAATCTCCTTTCCGTGTTACAGCTGCACAATCTGGGGTTCTTTCCTGTCGACGGCGTGACTATCAAAATCACAATCCCAGTAGCCACAAGAGGAGGGAATCGCCTTCTGCTGCTGACTGATTTCATTGTGGATCAGGTAGCAGTTCTGATGACTTCCACTTTTGGAATGGTTCGAGGCGCTGCCATTTGAAATATTTCCTTTATCAAGTCTCTTATCAGCGCTACTTTGGGCTTCCCAAATGCTTAACCATTTCCACTCAGTCCATGGGGATTCACAGTAGGCAGCGAGATGAGGCTATTTACCTCCGTCCCATATATAGCCAGGGGACATACTTTCATGTGCTCTAGAAAGTTGGTAGATGCTGTTAGATTCATATCCTGGTAGCAGGTAATTATTTTCCTGCTGTCAATTCACCTTGAGTGTTAATAGTCATCTTCTCGCTTACATGACCCAATTATTTAATTCTTTGGCTCTTCTGTACACTCATGGACTTCTTCCTTCCACGTTCATTTGGCTGGGAAAGTGGAAAGTGGTAGCAAGCCACAGGTCTAATCCGCACCTTGCAAGAACTAAACCTCCCACTAGCATTTAATAACTTCCTGCAGGTCTTGAAATAATTATGCTTTGACTGAGACATCTACTGGAATCTGAATGACCTCAAAGTGGTGAGAGAGTTTGTGGCAGTTCATTGGGGACCTTGTGTATAATATTCCCTCTGCAATGGAGCACGTTTCACAGGCGCTCTACGAAAAGACAGCCTTGTCTCAGAGACGGTGTGTCAGTGGATATTTTAGCTTCAATACTTCTTTCTACAGTCACAGCCCCGGCATGCTTGCCCTACCACACACTGGACAGAGTTCTGATGATGTCCCAGTCGGTGGGAGGTATTACTGATATAGAACATATGCTCTTGGGAGGGCACAAATTTGTCCTCCACTCTGGGACTATGCCCCCCACCCCCACCCCCGGGATGAATTTCCTTAGTAGAAAAGAAAAAATATTCCGTGATCCTCGAGAAACTTGTGAAATTGAATTCAAAGCTACTTGTGAATCAAGCTCTCCCAAAGGGCTTACTCAGAGCTGGTTCATTTCAGTGCGATTGTCTCCAGCAATGGAACAGCTCCTGGAAATAACTCTGAACTAGACAGGGTTGAGGAGAGCTGTTAACCTTTTAATTAACCTTTTAATTAAAAATATATTAAATGTGTTAATTAAAAATGAATTGCTAGTAGTGAAAGCCACCTGCTGTCCATTATAGCTTGGGTTTCAGATGCTCCTTCTTAACTTCTGATTTCAGGGCTAAGCTTTCCATGCCTGAAGGTCTGTAACATTTGGGTAGCTAATGTGCTAAGAGGCTTGTTCTGTGGCCACCACTGACCATGTGTTGTTGTTTTCATACAGTAGCTGTAATTAGAGAATAAGTTTGCGTCCATGTTCAGATGTGAATGGATAACAGTAAAACTCTGGACTCATTGAGAGAGAACTTTTCCATGCTTTATTGTTCTAGACACGTTAGATTAGAGGAGAGGGTCTAGATAGAGAACCCAGCCTTCTGTGACACTTGTCACAGACCCATCCCTGGACTCTGTATAGTGGAAGAGCAAAAATAAAACTGACCTGAATATGGAAAGTCGGGGGGGGGGGTTGTTTAGTTCCTTTGGGTCAGTTTTAACATGAATTTCTTTATGTTTAACTGAATTTCTTTTGCCCATTGAAGGAAAACACGACGTGTAATATCTGGGGAAACAACACTGATTACAGAAGGACACCCGCTGAGGAGGACCTTTCCCGTAACCTACAACTGGTAAGCCATACTCATAGACTCATAGATTTTAAGGTCAGAAGGGACCATTATGATCATCTAGTCTGACCTCCCGCATGATGCAGGCCACAAAATCTGACCCACCCACTCCTGGAATAATTCTCTCCCTTGACTCAGCTGTTGAAGTCCCCAAATCATGATTTAAAGACTTCAAGTTGCAGAGAATCCTCCAGCAAGCGACCCCTGCCCCATGCTGCGGAGGAAGGCGAAAAACCTCCAGGGTCTCTGCCAATCTACCCTGGAGGAAAATTCCTTCCCGACCCCAAATATGGGCTTTTCCCAACTCTCTTGTCTGGGATCTGTCTCCAAAGCACTCCCGCTCTGTCTTTGCGATTGATACATGTCTCCAAAGATAGCGTGACCCTTGGGCTGAATGAGCGGAAGGGAGAGGGTGATCCTGTATGCACACAAGTTCTGGGGAAGGCCTCCTGGCTGTGAGAATTGTGCGCTGTGTAGTTGGCCAGGGTCAGTGTCTCCGTTAAGGCCGCCCATTATTCAGGAGGTCAATGTCCAGTCCACCCACAGACCTTGTCTCTCCCCTTCGGAGGCACGTGCCAAAAGCATCACATTGCTGGGCTGCTGGATCAGGTGCAGTTCGTGAAAGCCGTTTTGATGGTGACGAAACGACTCTTTCCAGGGGTTAGAGATGGGCTCAAACAGAAAACGCCAATCTGGGTCCCAAACCCCCCACTGCCTGCAGGCTTTGGTTCAGCCCATTGTACAAATCGGAACCGTCCATGGGCTCCATCTTGTCTTCCCCATCAGATGGGAGCTCCTCATTCTCTCCTCCTTCCAGACCCTTCACGGCCCTGCGCTAGCCTACATCTCTGCTCTCAGCTTTCTCCTCCTCCCTGTCAGTGCCCTGTTGTAGCACTGCTCAGCTCCATGTAATCCATTGCCTCCTCACCTCGCTCTTTAGGGTTTGTCCACTTAAGGGAGGGATCTCGTTTGTTCCGTATAGTGAAGGGCAAGTTGAACCTGATCCACCGCTCCTTGAAACTGGCGACATTCCCATTCGCTTCAATGAGAGCAGGCCCCAGGCCCTTTATCGACAAATAACAAACGGCGTGTTTTGTACCGCACCTGGCACAACAGGGCCCCAATCCTGAATGGGGCTGTTACCCGCCCAAAATTCTCCGTTACATATTCTAGGGGCACCCACCTTTACCCAGTTCCTAGGGCTCAGGGCGTAACGTTCTGCGGGTTTGCAACACCTTTTACCAGTGAAAAGTAATATCTTTATCCTCTATTTATTAACAATTACCAAGCACAATCCACATGCTAAGCATACAATGCCATGCTCGCCAATCCTGATCAGGCAGGCGGACTTTCCCTGTTGGCCAGGCAAGGTCAGTCTCGTCTGGATTCTGGTTGCTGCACGTCACGGTCGTGCAGAGGATTCTTAGCAGCTTTGATCTTAGACTGAGCCTTGGAGATGAGATCTTCTTCTTCTTCTTCCAGGTCTTTCCCTCTTCCTTCTCTGCTGGTCTCCTTCTTGGACCCCAGTTTATATAGTGAAACTTGAGTTCCGCTTAGCTGTACCTTAACAAATCATTGTACTAAAATTTTACTAACCAATCCTAACATAGTGTAACAAAATTCTCTAACCTAATCATACCCCACCACCTTAATTAATTTACACCTAGCAAAACGTATTATGTAACAGACCGAAACAATCAAAGAACCAGGCAGAGAGCATACAGACAGACAAGACAGAAGTGGGGACCATAAAGATAAAACAATAAAGAAATGAGGATTTCACAACCACAACTATTGAGAAGTGGTTTCTTGCCAGACAGATGCTGTCAAACTAAGTTTTCTTTAACCATGTTAAGATCTGTTTCTTTATCTGGTGATGGTGGGTGCTATTAGGACGGGGTCTCCTTCTTACCAGCCCGATATTACATTGTTTTAATGTCATTTAGATGGAATGTGAGGATGTGACTTCCTGCTTCTTAGCTAATGGCTGCTGCTCTCCTAATCGGCCTTAGGCCTTACAATATGGCTACAGGGCACGGCCTTATCCCTACAGGGCCTTTGGAGCCTGTGGCAATACATAGAATCAAATAATAATAATGAGACAGTAAAATTCAGAGTCTGGGTCAGATTTCACCCCTCCCTCTTCCCCGCACTGAATCCGAGACTGTTCACATCCAGGATTATGGCACAAACCCAGGCTCTCAATGCTGCTCTTTGATTTCAGCATTTTGGTTCTTGCTTATGACCAAAAAATATTTCTGCCTCCCTTTTTCTCCCGGAGCATGAAACGAGCCAATCAGAGCTGGGCTGCAGTGTCTTTTCATTCGTACCAATGAGGCGGGGGGAGGAATTAGTTTAATTATGCACTATCCAGAAAGAGACGGGAAGCCCGGCCCACATGTGAAGGTAACATCAGTGACATGCAAACATCTGCTTTTTCAGAACCACAGTAACTCGGACGTCGTGTCCATTGACTGTAATGTGAAATTAGCATCCAACGAAGAAATCAACTTTCACTTACGTGGCAATCTGTGGCTGGAGTCACTGAAAGCAGTAAGTACGGCAGCCGGAGTCGTGCCACGGCTGCCGTCAAACAGAAAGAGCCTGACGGTGAAGCGTTACAGGGCAAACAGGCTGGTTTTCTCCCGAGCACAGACGCGTGCGTTTTGATTCTCGCATTCACAGATGATTTATTCAGCTGCAATTAACCCTCCATCCTAACCCGCAATCTCCGGAGGCAGCTCACCACGGAGAATGTAATTCTGAGCCTTACACGGCCCGTTTCTCCTTCCAAGTGCTTTGCCATCGTTACCTAATTAACCCAACACCCCTGTGAGGTGGGTAGAGGCTGAGGTCTAGGGCTAACCTTATGGCTGGTGTGAACTGGCCCAACTCTCTGACGTTAGTAGAGATTCCCCTTCTCACCCAGGTCTGAATTTGTCCCATGGAGACGAGGGGTCACTGATGTCAATAAAGCTCTGCTGATCTACACCAGCGGCCGGGCCGGCCCCAGGCCACGTAGGGAGGATAAGAACTGAGAGCTAGCGCAGGGGTTACAGCCCAGTTCTTCCTATGCCCCACCCATCTCCCTCGTTCTGTGATGCCCACTTGGGGAGGAGGAGCAGCTAATATTCATTCCCCATGATGCAGCAGATAAATGGAGGTGATGCCAGATCCCATTTGCTTCACCTTCAGTCTAGCCGCTGGGCTCATCAGCAAGGGCAACTTGGACAGCCAGATGGGTCCCTAGCCCAACATTACAGCCCCTCACGTTAACCGGCAGGGTCCAGCCTCACTGGGACGTGCCATGGGGCCTGTGAACCTGTCTCGGGGAATGTGAACTGGGGCATTTTCTATGGGTTGGCTTCTAGGCAGCTGCTGAGCATTTGGACTGTGTCTGACGAACAGTACAACTGCCTGCAGTTGGGTCAGCAATGAGCTACAGGGCCTTGCACCGCAACAGCTCCAGCTGGGACCCAGCGGGGCTCATAATGACCAAAAGCTGTTGCCATTTGATGGCCATTCAGTGGCCTGTATTACAGGTTTGGTGGTCTCAGGCCATGTCCCAGTGGACGGTGCCCACCCCACAAGACCCCCTTGCATTGCAGCTGCCCCGTGGGAACGTCGCCTGACCTGGCTCAATGTTACATTCTAGGCTCACGCCGGGCCTGGGGCCGATTCTCACCATTGTTCTGTCTCTGCAGCTGAAGTTCAGGTCACTGAAGCTCACGACGAACGCAGCTCTGCAGCGACGGTTTCGCAGCCCCTTCATCTTTCGGGAAGAGGACCCCAGTCGCCAGGTGAGCTGCTGGACTATATTCCCCAACGATGGGAGCGCAGACGTTTGCATTAGAAGGGAGGGGATGGAGAAAGCCCTAAGGGGGGCTGGACTGCATCTGGCTACTGTGGAAAAGAAATCAGAGCAACTCCAGCCCAGCCGGGTGGGCAAGCTGGCCGGAGAGAGCTGGTGATTCAGAATGAGGCGGATTCGGGTGCCACCTCTCCCTAGCCCTCAACCTGCACAATCGCAGCTCGGAAGCCGACGGGGCTCTCAGCTACCGGGATGAAATCAGGGGAAGCTGCAGCCAGAGCTGCCACCGCCCCGGAGCTGAGACTGGCCACTGATTTCACAGTGCCCAGGACAGACTGCCTGAGCTTTCCCATCCCCCAGATCAGCAGAGGAGGAAGCTGGGGGAGAGGCGAGTTACACACACTCCCATGCACACGGGCCCACCCGTCCGACCCCAGGGATTGGAGAAAGGGGAGAATTAAGGCCTGGGAAAGCCCCTCAGGTGCTCAGATACTGAGGAGTGTCGTACAAAACAGAAAAGAAAAGAACGTTGCAGCCAGGTCCGAGTCCAGTGTATCCGCCGGAATCCCTCGGTTTATTTAGCCGCTTACAGGCTGCGAGCGCACGTGGGGGTTTTAGGTATTTTCTTTGATTTTGTCGGTTTGCGCTTGAGCTGACGTTTTTCAGGCACTTCGCGAATGGCTTTTGTCGGAACCAGCTCTCCTCCGCTCTGCTCTCCAGGCGTCAGGGCAGGCTGGTTTCTCTGAGTTATTTGGGGATCTCCACATGCCCCTGGAGCCCAAATGCACTGGTGTCTCTAGGACACAGTGGCTGGTGGCACCGAACAATAATGCCAAGGGGCAAAACGTTTTTAAAAATCAACTAGAGACCAACTGGATCCAGTGCCGCGCCCCAGAAGACCCAGGGGTCTGGCAGAGGGGAAGCGATGTGGCCAGCAGCAGCGGCGATCAGTTCACGCGTGACACCGCGCGGGTCCGTCTACGCTGCAGTTAGCGATGTGATTGCAGCCCAGGCTGTAGAGCAGTGAAGGCTCAGTGGCATGTTCAAGGCCGCCCGGATCCCTGGGCTCACGCTCGCATGGCTGCCGTGTCGTCACTGCGGGTTTCAGGCAGGCCCACTAGATTAAAGCTGTCGTGGGTATGCTGGCCACAGCTGCCATCGCCCCTTTATTGGCAGCGCAAATGTACCCTCAGAGATGGGGGGAGGTGCAACAAAGGACTCCACATAGTCCAGGCGAGGCCGCCTGAAGCCACTGGGTCATGCGGTGTATCCTAAAAGCTGCCCATTAGGGCCTCTTCCAAGAGGGAGTTCCACAGACAAGCACCCTTGGTGGAGGACACCCAGTCCCCAGCCTGGCACTGCCAGGTAGGGCAGAGGGCCCAGAGCGATGGGCAGAGGAAGCGGGGCAACGAAGTGGCCTCCAGAGAGACTGTTCTGTTAAAAGGGGCTTTATCCAACCAGCTGTCGTGGGGCGGCTGGTTTGTACTGGCTGAACTGCGTCTCCGGGGCTGAATGGCTGGGGAGCGCGGGAATTCCCTGATCGCTAGGCTCAGGGCCTCGTCTGCTGCCTTCAGCGAGCTTTGGATCAGCCCCACAGTTCCAGCAGCAGACACCAGACATTGCTGCTCCCACCAGGCCCAGAGCTACAGCAGGGCTGGCTGGGAGGCTCTGTGCCAGGTTCCCAGGAGATGGAATCTCTCAGTGGCTCCTCAGCAGGGACAGGCAGTGGGGCTGGATGATCCACGCTAGCCTCCGGAGGGTCCATGCGCTCTGTCAGCCTTCAGAGCTGCCCTTCCCTCAGCGGTTGGCAGCAGCAGCATTGCCATGTGCCTGCCCACAGGGCAAACTCCAGTATGGCCGACTCTCATGATTTCATTGCAGCTCTCGCAGCATTTGGTGGTTTTCTTAAACCTCCAGCTCCCGGAGTCCTGTGATTCCGTGAGAATCTCAGCTGTCATTGAGCAAAACAAAGTAGGTGTCAGGCCCTCGTGGTCACAGAGCAAAGCTTGAAAATGTGGCCGAAAGGAGTATTTTCACACGTGACCCCTCTCCCCATGGGGTTTGTGTGCCGACGTGTCTGAGGCAGAGCCAGCCAAGCCAGACTCCTGCTCCCACCAGGTCACCTTGTTCCCAGCTGGGCCCAGAGAGAATGGAGCGCTGCTGCCCTCTGCTGGCTGCAGGCTTCATCTTCTAGCCAGTAGCCCTGCCAGCCATCCTGGGCTGCTACATGCCCTGCAAAGGGCCTAGAGAGATGTCTGTCCACCGCAGGCAAGTCCATTGTTAGCCTGAGCCTCACTGCCTGCAGACACCCACATTCTAGCACCCGCAGCCAAGTGACAGCAAGAAATGGTTAGTCGGTCTTTACAATCTAAGGCAGGTGAAAAAACTGTGTTTTATTGCATTCGGTTTCAGGCCATTTCCCGTTGAGTACCATAGTCCCCTTTCCGTAGGGCCCTACGCAGGGCAGATACAGCCTGACAGAGCAGTGTGCCTGTTCCCAGGCCTGAGCCCCTGCCATCCTGTCACTTCCTAACCGCTGCCTCGAAAGCGCTGGATTGATGTGCATTTGAGATGAAATCCTAGGGATTCCAGCTGTCTGCACCCACCCGCCAATGCAAAGCCCTGGTGTCCATGGGCAAAGCTGCAGTGTGCACCAGTGACTGGCCGGTGCAAGGTCTGGCGGACCAGAGCGCTAGGCTAGGGGCTGGCACCAGTAAGCTACTCTGCCGGCTGAAATCCGGGCACGTGCCAGGCGCAGAGAAGGCCTAAAAGTTGCTTGCAGGGGGGGGGTAGAATTGGGGGGAGGGAGGGAAGCACTCTGCAAACCCAAGTACGTTCATCTCCCACGGCTTCCTATTGCAGATAACGTTTGAAATCTCCAAGCAAGAGGAGTCCCAGGTCCCGATCTGGATCATCCTAGGCAGCACGCTCGGAGGGCTCCTGCTACTCGCGCTCCTTGTCCTGGCTCTATGGAAGGTAAGGCCGGTCCCCACAGCAGAGCTCATTTTCCAGCCGGCACTCGGGGCGGACACGCCTCGCGTGGTTGGGTCAAGCTGACGCCGTTTCCCTGCATGGTCACTATTCCTTTGTCATCGACCCATCGACATTAAGGCCAGAAGGGACCGTTGTGACCTCTGACCTCCGGCATGACGGACCATAGAACTTCCCCCGCCTCCTTCTTTCCCTTGATTCCATTTCCTTTGGTGAAGTTGCTGTAGCCTCTGCCTTCTCCCCAGAGCCAGGACCCAGCCCCACCCCACGCCCTCGGGCTCTGTGTAGCCCCCTCCACAGCACGCCTGGGTTTGATAACTAAAACACCCTCCGCTGGAAGTCAAGGGACTCCTCCAGGAGGGACAAGCCTCAGCTGCAACTTGAGTTCCCAATATGACCCCAAACCTTCAACCAGCCTGCAACCCACGCTGCTCGGATGGCTTGGAAATGGTCACGGTCAGGCTTGATGCCCGGTGCCCTGGAAGGGAGATGAGGAAGCCCCCAGTGCCCTCCACACTCTCCTTGTCCCCTTTCTTGCCTGTTTGTGGTGGAGGCGAAGAGAACAGCCCGCTCCCCAGCCCAGCTTCAGTCTCACCTCTGAGCACTGATTGGGTTCCTCACCTCCCACTTGAGCTTCTGGGGCTGGGAGCAGGGGAACAGCCATGTTCGAGGGACAGGGTCACGCAGAATGCCAGTGCTGGGTAGAGAGAGAGGAGCAGAGAGGCTGGTCCCTGGCTGCCAGGATTTGGTCTGATAAACATTATCAAACTGGCAATGCAAAAAGCAGCATGGGTGTGGAGTGAGACCAAACTCTCTGGAGGTCAGTGCCAGCTTCAGGGGATCAGTGCCAGCTTTGCTCACAGCTGGGCAGACCGTTAAATACTCCCAGGCGAAGTGAATTGTACAGCCGGACACTGGCCATGGGGAAGACGAAGGGCCCCTCGCCTGTCATGCCCAGGAAACCGATCACATGGGATATTCCAGGGAAAGGTGACAAAGGCCCAAGGTCCCTGATGTTGTGCCCTGGAGATGAAGTCCCTTCCTGAGCCCGTTTTAGGGATGGGTTTAACCTTGTCGTCTCAGAGCTTGCACGGTACCTTGCAGTTGCTCTTACCAGCAAATCTTTGATAAACCTACACCAAGTTTTGTCCACAACTAGGGCATGACTGACTAGATTGCACTTCCCAAGAGGGCCCTTCTCAGGCAGGTAAGATTGCTGGTTCAACAGACGGGGTGCGGGCAGGCAGGTTTTGCTGCTCATTGTCAAGCCGGAGCAGGGGGTACGGGCAGGCAGAGCACATCCAGCCCTGGCATTTACCGTTTACGTGTAAACATTTCAAAAGAGCAGCCATTTGGGCTTGCGGCTCGACCCATGAAAAGACATCGACGCCCAACGCCACATCCTGGGCGCTCTTGCCCTTCGAGCACCTACCGCGAGTGTTCTTGCTTTGTCTGAAAACCTTTGAACACGGGAGGTGCTTCTTTTCCACCCCGGGGTACAAACCAGGCTTCCCAGCAGCAGTGAATAAACAGAGATTCTTTTTTTTAAGCTTCAGAGAAATCCCACAAGAATTTCTCACTCTAAAGCAGCGAGACTCAGATGGAGGCTCAGGAGCCGCAAGTGGTTCTTTAATGTGTCTCCTGCGGCTCTTTGCAGCACCGGATATTAAAACACTGCGTGATTTAATTATTAACCAATCAGGAAGCTTTTACTGTGTTATTAACCAATTGTAGACAACTTGGTCAGTCATTTTGCTGTGAGAATAATCTATACAGTGAAAGCTGCGTTATCCCGCACTTTATCAACCGGAAAGCTCTATTAACCGGCATTTCTGATCTCTCCCAATACAAATCTTCCATCTAGCAACCGGGACTAGTGTACTGCCCAGGAGGTTATGCAATTGCACATTCTGCACTCCTCTTCTATACGAAAGAGGCAGAGGACAAGTCAGCAAGCTGATATCAGGGATTTATTCAAAAAGCAGCTTCCAGGGTGTGTCATAGGGTCATTACAGATTCAGCCCAATCTCCTCCACCTTCTCCATCTACAATGATAATTGATGTTGATAATGATGACCCTGAGGCACTGCAAGACCCTGAAGTGCCTTCTGAATCATCAAAGATTAAATTATGTTCAGTACAGTTTTAGTGTTAAGTGTATTTTCAGTGACCTGGGTGTACGCCACGCGCGGCCCATAGTGATAGGTAGTGTCCTAAAATAACCTACTGTATAGAAAACTTTACCTGTCTACACCTAAGTGCTTCAAGAAATCAACCACTTTGTAGTGCAGTACTACTACTGGATTGGTGAATATCTATATACTGTACTGGATTTTATACTTTATTCATTTGATTGTATTCTAATTCTTTGGAAATTGGTATTCCATTGGTTAACCGGCATCACTCATTCTCCCAACATGCCGGATAACAAAACTTTTCCTGTATATAGTAAATGAAACAGTGAATTCACACTCCTATGGCTCTTTTGGGTAATGTGGATCATTAATTTGGCTCCTGAATTACTGAGATCTGGGTATCACTGCTCTAACGGAACAGGAACACTCAGGTTCCACACCATATTTTGTAAAAAGCACATTTACTGATCAACTAACACATTAAAACCAAATGATGAAAAACTAAAAACTCTCTGCCATGAGTGCAGGGGACTAGATGACCTCTCAAGGTCCCTTCCAGTCCTGCGATTCTATGATTCTACTCTTTGCCATTGATACTTCTGGCTGAGTCACCTTGGCCAGATGAGTCAGTTTCACTTCCTGCCTTTCAAACACCAGCAGGTGCTGCAAGGTTTCAAGGAAATTGAAATGCAAGCCATTTGAAAAGTTTTTCACTGGATTTTTCTTTATAATGTCAAACACATTTTTGTCAAATTAAATTTTCCAAACCCTTTTTATTGTCAAAAAATGTAAATGTGGGCCCTTCACTGCCTGACAATATCCCTTTAAAAGAAACGCACTTCAACATAATCAGCTGAAGTAATGGTCGGTTGTTGTTGTTTTTTTTTGTCTTTTCTTTAATTCCTACAGCTTGGATTTTTTAAAAGTGCCAGTCGCAAGAGAGATACAGAACAGGAGCAGAATGCCAAAGTTTTAGAATGAGGCTTCCCCAGCGAGGGCCTGTGAAGCTCATCTATCTATCATCCTGTTCCTATTCATTTACAGCTTACGGAGTATATGTCTGTCTTGATGCTGAGGGATGTGGGTGTGGAACTCCGTTTGCATCGAGATGAGAATACACCCCTTTGTGTGAAATTATCTAAATAAAACCGATTCGCTGGCTATATGCCACAGGAGCACAAGCATCAAAAGGTACTTCAAACTGGTTTTAAATAGCTCTGTTTTGCCTAGTCAGAGGCAGCTATGCAAATCTGAGAGAGAGAGAGCGAACTAAGGGCAATAACAGAATAGGGGTGGTCATTATGATTAATGTTTTCATGCTGGGGATTGCAAGTTTAATGAAATGCTACAGCTCTAAAAAACAAGCCAGTCAGATTAATTGTGAGAGCTGTGAGATTAGGGTGAAATCTCAGGAGATTTACAGTAGCTAATTTTCATGCCTGAGTTGTATAAAATCCCACTGATTAATTGCACCTCCTGTTCTTGAACTTCTTAATCGGCATTATGGGTGGGATTTGAGAGACGTTCTAGCTAAAAGGCATAGAAAGTCTATTTCCCAACTGTTAAGCTGTAGCAACAGTAAACCTGCATTTATTGTTTGTTCATTTAAATGGCCTCACACTCTGTGAGTAATGTGTGTTCAAAATGTAGTGTTCAAAAATCGTTTGAGGGGATGGCCCTTGTGCAGAGCACTCCTTTGCTGCTGCTACTGCTACTAAACAGTACTTCTGAGATACCTCATATTAAAGGGTAACATTTGGATTATTCAAACTAGGCGGACTTGTCAGTAAAATGCCACATGTGAATTCTCCAAGTGCATGATTTGCCTGAGGAAATAAGATTTCTCCAGTGAGGAAGAAAGAGACAAAAAATCCTGTCCAGATAGTAAACAGATCAATTGAACAAATTACACATTTGTTAAATTCATGTTGTGCATCAAAATTTAATAATGCAGGGTTCAGTGGAGCGCCCGTTGAAGCAAAGCGGAGCTGGCTCAGGCCAATACAAAGCCACAGATCCCCAAGTGTTTTACATTTTCTGAGTGGAGAGTTTAATACAGAGATTTTAATTTGCTTTCTTTTTAATGCACTGAATACAATTAATAGCAAATTAAAGCACCTTAATGCAAAACTTCAGTGTCCAGCTGTATATACTTATTCTGAAAATATTTACCTGTTTAAACACAAAAGAACATCAAAAAACCAGTTTGAAGTGTTTTCTACAAACTGTGCAATTTCAAAGAGTATACGTGCAACAGGAATCCAAACATGTATTATAATTGTATATACTTTGTGTAATGCAGAGATGATCAGTGCTGTTTGACAAAAATCTTTTCTTTTGCATAATATAATTATTTATGCTAATATTAACTTTATGACTGAAAAGAAAGAAAGCAGACGTCACCCGATGTGTAATAAAGTCTGTTAAATACTGTTTGAGTATTTTTTAAGGATAAAAAATACAGTATTTTTAAAAATTCATAGTTTCAACTACCATTCTGTGCCAAACCATTTTCACCAATTATCATCTAGAATTGGATTGAATTGTTCACATGCCTTTAGAAGAGAGTGGAAAAAGGGACTATGATTATACTATTTCTGCCTTTATTTATTTTGACAATAAATATATTTTCCAGGACGACTATATACAAGCCTTCTTTTAAAGGGACACTGTCAGGTTAAAAAAACTAAATGCTTACGCTTGCAGCATGAGTATCCCATTGTGGGCCCATCCATACACACGTTGCAGGATCATCTCCTTTGGTCCTTATCGTTGTGTTAAACCTTTCGATTATTTAAACTGAAAAACAAATCTAATTGACTTTTTCTGTTTCTGCTTTTCTTGCGTTTTGCATTTCTCAGCTTGAGCAAAGGAAGGTCTAGTCAGTTTCATTATTTCTAGTTAATTTTACTTTCATGTTTTCCTGCACTAGCCCAAGCAGGGGCTAGTAATGGGGATGCAACTGCTTCAGGGAGTTGTTTATTTACATTTGTTTCCATTAGCGATTTTAAACAAAGAATGGGACTAGCTATGATAGTTTTAGGCTTTGTGAATGATTAGCATGGGGGTGCCTGTTTTACAAAACTAAATGGAGATTTTTGACCTGACGTTGTCCCTTTAATTCAATATTATATTGGGAGTAGCATATGTTTCCCACCACAAGAGTGCATTTTCTTATTGAGCTGGCTTAACTAAAATCTTGGCCATTGTACAGAGGTTTTTTTCCCCTTTTATGAGTAATCAGTTTTCAGAAATCTTGCAAAATAATCTTGTTGAAAGTATTTAAATGGAAGGCTGCATAAAGAACACTGAAGTCATCAATTCATCCTCACACGACCTCTCTCTTTGACCAACATCAAAACCAACAAAAAAAAACCCCAAACCCAACAACAAAAAACAAACAAACCACCACACATTGTTCAGCAGCTTGTTCATTTCAGATGTTGGTGATGAGAAAATTAATTTTCTTTTTCAAATCCAAAACTTTAGCTTATCATTAGCATTTTCCCCGTATTTTAAATAACTTCAATATACACGAAATAGAAAATACCTCAAGGTCAAAATTCACTGGGGCCTGATTTTGCACCATTGAAGTCAACTGGTGCTTTGCCACTTCCTTCGGTGGGCACAGAATAAGACCAATAGTGAATAAGCAACAGTGTAAATAAAATACCCAGTATTGCTGTAGGGTCTTTCCACTGACAACCAAACGGATGAAACGTAGCGACTTCGTATTAATTCTGTTCCTTAAAACAAAAGAAAATGATTGCCCAATCAATTCTTGTTTATACTATACTAATAATGGAAAAATAAAAGCTTTTATCATGTATTCCACCAGTCTCATCAAGAACAAAAACAGCACTACCATCTTCATCGGGATTGCGAGGCGTCTGGCCTCGTTCTGAGATGCATCTGACGTTCACATTGCTCGTGTACATAGGAAACGTTCCGCTGGCAAGTGCTAGTTACATGATTAGCACGTTTCCCATTTGATAGACGTGCTTTGCCAACACTTGTCACTGCTGTATAATATGCAAACAATGTGCTTGTACACAGGGTATGTAAATATGCTTCCAAATGTGCAGCTCTACTTTGTAACACTGAACTGCTGGGAAATACAATCTGAAGATTTGTGTACATGGTCTTAGTGTTCAGCTTCGCCTATTTATTTGTTCATGTTTTCTTCTGTCGTGACGCTGCTGAAATCAGCCAGGATCGGGTTGTCCCTGCAATGTTAGCAAATAGAATTTGGTTTCACACCGCACCGTTCATTCTCAGAAGCACATGGAATGAATGAGTTACGGTTCACAGACCAGTGGTGGAGACAAGCATAGTGAATGCAGCAACAGCTCATAACCGTTGTACCTCAAGGCCCCAGTTCTCTGGGCTGTGGGAGCAGGAACACAGAAGGGGCGTCTAAAGGGCGTGGTTGTTTTTTGCATTGTCCTCAGGATACGTTAGATCAGCCTTAATGCTGCTCTAACCTACACTTCACTGCAGAGGCACCCATGGGACTGCGGCATCAGCTCAGAGTACCTGGAGCACAATGCCGTTCCAGCAGTGCACCTCGCCAAGAAAGCCCCTTTGCTAACAGACGAGATCTGCTGCTTTTACTGCCTTTTTAAGCTATTGGAGCAGCATGAATGGGCTGGGGGCGAGTGCATAGGTCCCTGGCAGCCTGTTTTACGAAGGGTTAGGCATGTTGGCCAAGATCAGAGGGACCCAGGCCAAAAAAGTGAAGCCCCAGCTCCAAACTGCCCCATGGAGTTGGCTTTGGGCTTAGGACTAGCTGTGAGCTTTCCAAAAAAGCACCATAGCTGTTTAAAACTGCCCCCTGCAACTGGGAAGACGGGCTTTGGCTCCGCCACGACCCTCTTCAGCTCCAGTAGTATTGACCGAAACCGTCACTAGCTGAGAGACGTGTACGGTCAGGCCTGAAACCAATCAGACCCGTTGGATCTCTTTGACCTGAATTTACTCAGCCTGATAAAAGTTTCCTCTCACTAATTCCTTTGACGCCAGATTTACACCCCTCCCAGTTGGAGCAGAATCTGTATCTGTGGATGTTAATCCTTTACCATTCACTCTGTCACTGGCTGTTAAAGAGCCAAAGCTGCCGAACCTTTTGAGAGAACATGGGCCTCTGCTTGACATTTTTATAGCATTTTGCTCTAGCCCATTTTTATGTTGCTAATGTGCAGTACTTAGCAACTCTGGGAGCATGCGCCACTGTTTAATATGCTGCTACATTGCTCTTAAACATTAACGAATAATCATCTGTGAGGGAGATGATGCTTTCAGATGTATGTTTAGAGACATCGCCACAAGGACTTCACACACACAATGCTCAGACTAACATGACTGTCCATGTGCACCCCACTAAGCCCTGTTTTGGTGATCTAGGGTCTTAGCCCAGCTGGTTCAATGTCGTATCTGAGCACCTGCCACCAGCGCATTGCCGACCACATGGCCAGGCTCAGGGCGCGCGGGCAGGCGCTGCTGGCAATGTGGTCTCTTTTGTTACTAAAAGCCCAAACACACAGCTCGCAACTAGTTACATTCAAGTGGCTGACTGGGGCAAATGCTGCATGTACTTGTAACCCAAGACAGCATTAATTAATCCCCCGCAAAAGTAACACACCCGCTGGCCCCCTGCCCGCCTCCAGCACCTCTCGCTCAAGCACTTGTGTAATCGGGGGCCGGTAATGACGCTGGCGGTAGCTGTGACACCATACCAGAGGTAGGCGCTGTCAGGCACCGCCTCACAGCCACTGTCCCCCGCCCCATAACAGGAGGCCGCGGTTGCTGTGACCTAATGCAGCAGGGTAACATGCGTCACACCGTACAGCAACCATAAAGCAAGGGTTACGGGCCTTGAAAAAAACAAGTGTGTGCGCATAAAATACAGCCGCGTGCCATAGCATCTGGATCGGGCCAAACGCAGCCTGGAACCAGAGCCCGGCCCGTGCAGCCAGGCTTATGCCAAGCTTGGCGGCACACAAACCCCTTTGGGGCAGCTAGACCCTGGCCCCCACCCCTTCCTCCTGAGGCCCTGCCTCACCCCACCCCACCCACCTGAGCCCCAAGCTCCTCCCCACCCCAGCTGCCCTGAACCCAGGCCACCAGCCGGCCTGCCCCAGCAATGCTGCCCGCCCCAACCCCCAGGCCAGTCCGAGCTGTCCCAGGCCCTGGGCCCAAGCCCCAGGCCAACCCGAGTCACCTCAGCCTTGGGCCATACCAGGCCCTGAGCTCCAGGCCACTGTCTGGACTGAGCACCCTCCAGTTTCAGGAAAGAGGGGGTGCAAGGGCAGGGGCCTTGGGGTAGAGCAGGGGCCGGCAACCTTTCAGAAGTGGTGTGCCGAGGCTTCAGTTATTCACGCTGATTTAAGGTTTCGTGTGCCAGTCAGACATGTTAACGTTTTTAGGTCTCTTTCTATAAGTCTATAATATATAAACGATTGTTGTATGTAAAGTAAATAAGGTTTTTAAAATGTTTAAGAAGCTTCATTTAAAATTAAATTAAAATGCAGCGCCCCCCCGCCCGCGGACCGGTGGCCAGGACCCGAGCAGTGTGAGTGCCACTGAAAATCAGCTCGCATGCCGCCTTTGGCACGCGTGCCATAGGGTGCTTACCCCTGGGGTAGAGCATGGCTGGGCCATAGCCTGGGTTGGGGAGGCTTCGCTTGCCCTGGCCTTTGCTACCCACCGCCCCTGCAAGCAAAGCCGCTTGCCACACCCCCAGCACGGCAGTGCATGGCCAGCGCCTTCCTGGCATGGGGCTTTTTTGAATTCACGCACCTGCATCGTTAGCATGCGGAACGAGCCAAGCCCCAACAGGCCAGCGGCTGGCACAATGTTTGCAATTGACTAACAGACCATTAGGCCAGGGCTCCACGCGCTCTCCCCACCCCCGCGCCTCTCCCCTGCCCTGGGGCTAATGTTGTAATCCGAGTAGAGTCAATGGGTCCCACTTTTAACACAGGCTCTCGCCATGTGTCAGCACTGGGCTGCATAGCGGTGGAAAAAACCCTCCAGCACTAGGGCTTGTCTACACAGGGCCTTGGCTACACTGCAATTACACACCCACCGCTGGCCTGTGCCAGCTGCCCAGGCTGGCGCTAAGGGGCTCATTGATTGTCGTGTAGCCAGAGCTCTGGGCCCTCCCTGCCCCGGGCTCCAGGCCGAGCCTGACCATCTACACCACACAAACAGGCCTAGGCGGCAAGTGTAGCCAGCCCCTGGGTGCATTGCAAGCTGGGCTCACCACGCACAGCAAGTCTGTGCACAAGCCCCTTGGGGCACTGCAGTGGTTGGGTTGGGTGGCACATGCCAGCGAGGCAGGTTTGTGAACTCACTTGCCCTTAGCTAGTGTGAGACCGGGGGGGTGGGGGTGGAAGCGGGGGGCGGGGTCCGCATTGTCCTCACTCCTCTCCCCTTCCCCCCAGAGCCTCCTGCATGCCCCAAAACAGCTGATTGCGGGGAGGGTGCTGCTTGGCAGTGCTGCCAGTGGGTGGGAGGCGCTGGGACCATGGGAGAGGGGGCTGCTGACATATTACTGTGGCTCTTTGGCAACGTACATTGGTAAATTCTGGCTCCTTCTCCGACTCAGGTTGGCCACCCCTGTGCTAGGTGCACCCGAAAGTCTGGGGCTCGGGACCCATTCCACTCCCCCTTCCTTGGCTAGCGAAACTACGGTGGTGTTGCAGTAACCACAGCATCTCAACGCCGGGGTAGGAGGGAGGCAGATGTGCCCCTTGTGCCCCCTTTGCATCTCTCCACCCTGTAATCTTGCCCTCTTCTCGCTGCCCATGCCGTCAGTTCAGCTAGTGCCCCTTTTCTTCCCTGTCTCTCTCTTCCTCGGCCCCCTCCCACAGGGCATGGGGACGCAGCCGAGGCCAGTACAACACCCCCGAGAGCAGCTGAAAGGTAGAGGCAGCCAACCGGGCAGGAGAAGGGCTTGGGTGACTGCAAGCGACACAGCAGCGCACAGAGGGCCGGGCCTGGCCACCAGCTTCCCTAGCATTTGATGGAAAGCAAAACAAATGAACTACCCCCTCTCCTGGCCCTCCCAGCGAGAGCGGCCCAGGCCAAGGAAATAAACCACCCCGAAAATGCTGCGGGGGGCCCCTTCGCTGAAGGTGGCGCTGAATGAGAGTGGTTTTTATCTAAGCCTGGCCGGGAAGGTGGGCGCTCAGCAATGCAGTCGCTGGGGAGGGCACGGCTGGATGCTGCGTATCAGATCTACCCCCAGCTTTGTACTCAGCCAGTCGGTGAGCCCTCCTCCATGCTGACTACTCGCCCCCCGCTTTAAGGGCAGCCAGGCCACCTTCAGCAGCTGCTAATGGTGCCAACCCCCACTCAGTCACATTTCGGCTGAGCTGGGGCAAAGCCTGGCTGCGAGAAATGCTCCCAGGATTCTTTGCACATTTTAATTTAAGCGTCTAATAAAACAGTTGATTTGGGGGGGGTGGAAACAACCACACACACACCCTGCTGTGATACTGGCACTTCAACTATTCCAGTACCGGGAACTCGAAAGCAAAACAGTCTCTCAACAGCAGTGAAGCTGGGGTCACGGCTTTTCCCTGGCTGAGTCGAGCCGTGGGGGTAGCAAACGAGCAGCAATGAAGTCTCCCATTTGAAAAAGGTTGTTTGGGGAACGGTTTTCTTTAACTATTACCTTACCCTGAAATGTATTTCTGCAGCTTAGCTGGATTTAGCCTTGTGCGTGTTTTCTTTAGAAATGCCCGTTTTTCACAATACCGCGTTTATTAAGGGGTAATAGTGCCACACGCTGGTGGCTACTGGCACAAGGCCAAAGCTCTTATGTTTGACAGTCCCCAGGGTGTGCCGTGTGGGAGCAGAATACAAACCCTCGTGTTTCTTAAGG